AAATAAACTTTATTGTTAGGTAACAATAGGGAAGGACTGAAAGAATCTGATAATAGCCACTGACCTTATCCAGATTTTTTACTCCACAGTGATTGCGAAAGATCAATAGGTGTTCTGGAACAGTAGTCTCCCATTCTCCTTCTGTCCAGAAGTTGTGATGAAGCTCAATCAAAAATGTCTCTCTTCCCAGAGCATGACACCTCACCCAGAACTATGGAGTTTTAGAGGCACAACACAGGATCAGCGAATCCTTTAATGACAGTGTTCTATAATGATAGCAGTAGAGTTCCATCTTTGTTTCATCCTTCCATCTGGCCTTATCAGGAAGTCACTTATTCTGTGAGAGTTGTGATGGCAGGACCCTTTCCCAGAAGCAGAGAGCACAAGGTGAGATTACACCCAGGATAAGAATCCAGTTTGTAAGAACATAACAAAGATAACAAATGAGAGGAGGCCATTGGGCCCATCTAGCCCATTCAGTAGTTAGTACCCAACTGACACGACATTGCTTGAAAGGGGCACTTCTACCCTCTAGTTCGTGTTTTATTGTTGATTCTAAAGAAGTCTGCTGGGTTGACTTTGTGGTGCCTTTTGAGATGTTTGAACATGTGAAGGAGATCCCCTTATAGTCTTTTCTGGTTCAAAAGCTTTAGTTCTTTCAGCTTGTTAATATTGGACATTCTTTTAGGAATTCTAGAATTTCCTTATTGGGACAATCCTAGCAGGTGCCTCAATCAGAATATCTTTAATCAGTTTTCAATACATTGTCACCTGACTCCATACCTATCCTGGCCCATTCTACTCATGCTAAACTGTGTTCCTTTCCTTTATAGCCTGATTTTCCTGAGATTTTAAACCTTTGTTTTTGATTTAACCTGTGCAGTTTAACCATATACTTCATATCATGGCCATATGGCCACACCATATTACAATCATAGTTCCCTGATGTTCTCTCACCTCTGTGGTCCCAATGACAGTTGATCTCTGCAGTACTCGCACATGGACAATAAATACACTTTTATTTAACACTGGCGTGGACTCATTGCTTGTAATTGAGCAACAGATGCATGCTGTGTCTTCAAGAGATGCAATGAGAGTCTGCTCTCTAAAACCCTACAAATACACCACACCAAATAAAATAAAACAGGATGTTGTCTGGGCTACCCTTCCATAATTACAAACTCAGTGCTTTCAGATCCACTTCCAGAGTTAGTCAAGGACCTTAATCTCTCAGACCACGTGTTTCTGGAGGTTGTCTGCTCCTCATTTTCATGTTGTGTCTGCATGTGTCTCAGTGAGTCTGTGGGCTCGTCAGTGTGTGTATATGTCATATATTTGCTAGTGTCCAGTCCGGGAGACGCGCTACAGCAGGTCAGTTATAGCTCGTTGTACTGGGTAGTATTGCTGTGGGCGGTGGGGTTGTTCTAAACCAGAAGGCGAATTAAACAGTGAGCTGTCGAACCGTACTGGCCTCAGCTCTTCCTCTGTGCCACTTAAAAACTGTTATTACTTTCCTTTCTGGGACACCGGGCTCCCACAAAATTATAGTCTGAGGAGTCTGATTTCCCGTCGAGACGAAAAAAAGTCCTGGCGGTCTGTCTTCAAAAGAGATCGGCATATTTACCATGTGGAGTCGCGACAAGACACGGTTTGACCTCTTTTGTCCACTTTCATCATTTGTATGGTTCTTCAAAAGCATGAAACCACATCCACTCTAAGACATTGTACCTGCAGAGGATAATGCTAGGAAAATGGTGCGTGTCGAATCATTTTTTTTTACCGTATCATGTAGCTGAGGGCATTTTTAAAAACACAATTTGGAAGCAAAGCTTAAAATGAGATTTTAAAAAGCCAAACGCCCTTATCGCAGAATTGGCATAAATTCGGATGTTTCGGCCAGGATACTAAATGGTGACCGGGTCGCGGCAAAATCTAAGCTTTCTGAGGAAAGTCGATTGAACTTTTCAATTCTGTTAACAGTTTCTACCTCGGCAGCCCTGGATCACACACTACAGTTGCTCCTCCTCCAGAGCCGGGAGGAGCTGTGTTAAACAGTAACCTGGCACTTTTTTAAGAAGTAGCTATGTGACCAACTCTGTAAACAACGCGAACACTTGAGCCAAGTCAGGACTACAGCGACGAGGCGTGCAAGTTAAAGGTAAGCTTCGGGTATGTATGTATTTTAACGACAGCGATAACTCATATTCTGTCTTACTCATGGGACGCGCTTTTAGACAAATTAACAGGCTTCTTTATTTTTGAATAGACGACTTTGATTTTGTTTTGCACAACGAATTTTACAAATGAAAATTCTTTAAAAGGGATCCTGGTACTAATTTAGGAAGCAAATATTGTAATACATCATTGACTTCTAGCTGGGGTACAAGTATAGGACTTTTTAAGACTTCTTCAAATCTTCCAAACTTTTAAAACTGAGAAAAAATATTTTTATTTTACCACTATGCTTATAGGTAATACCGTTAAAGCTATAACATATCTAGAATTTCCGTGCAATTTCATTTCGTGAGCATCTATATTTATGGGGGAAAAAAAGTGAATCGCGACAATCTTTCATTTTACCTAATTCCGCCATTTAAAAAAAATGTCATCATTCACGTTTCGTTGTACACGACGTTGTTGGAAGATAAGAAACTTTTCAGTTAACAGACTCTTTTCACCGGCACAGATGTACGAGGTTACAGTACTGAGTAACGGGGTGCAGGCGGCCATCCGCAGTTACAGACCCGTTAGGCTGTCATTATACTATAATTTATAGACGAGATGTCGTACTCAGGTTCGTCTAGTAAGCACACAGTGGCGACGCGGGACCTGGACCACCTGTGTCATTTCTAATTCCCTATTCCCTTGGAAGTACTGTATGTATCCCCCAATTAGATACGACACCCTTTAGGGGGGTACTGGATTGGATACGACACCAGTTCTCGCAGTGAAGTCTAAGCGTGCGCCCTGTCGAAGTATGGTTAACTGCCACATCACAGACGACAGGAAAAACATACTCGTACTGCTCATCAACCGCTGACGTTCACAAATGTGATAACTCTTTCAGCGTGGGCCTGACAGGATGTTTATAAACACTGAATTTTAAATAAAAAAGTACGCAGTTGAAGTTCACAAGAAAACTGAGTTCAGAACTATCAAAAACATAAGCTATGGATGATTCACCGGTAAAAATAAAATATGCGTAACAGACGCACTTGTCCAGGGTGACACATAACATAGCATGAATACATTCAAAATATATACGGGAAAAGCACTAGCTAAATGATAATTCTCAGCACTTTTAAGTTCCTCTTTTTGGCTGAGTAAATATTCAGAGCTAAACTATTTTAGTTTTTTGATAATCTGGTTGTACATTTAACCCGTGATACCGCGAAGCGGAAAATGCGCAGTTCTGTTTTCAGTCGAGGTGCGAAAATGTGTGCTTTCAGTCTGCTGACTCTGTTTCGGTACTTTCTTCAAAAGGTTTCAAGTTGCATTTTTTTTAATACCGGCAAAAGGTAACGGGAACACAAACGGCATTTTAGGTGACTGGTGACTGATTTTGATCCCGGGTCCCCTCTTAATAAATAACAGAAAATCTATTTACATTACATTAAATTTAAAGAATAATCATTCTATGAGACGTCCACTGTACTTCATATGTAGAAGGGAGCCATATAGTTAATCGTCTCTGCACTAGGTGACAGCTGTTGTTCCCAGTAATTAGATGCCACCTTAATCCTATCGTTTATATTTATCAGTGTTTTACCTGTTCAACCAGTGGAAATTGCTTCTTTCCTCCAAAAGGAAGCGCTCTGTCACACGTCGCCATGGTTACGCAGTATCAGCAGCTGTTGTGTCCGGATATGATTCCCATTATTCTCGTGTTTTATCAGGGCTAGAGTGGCCGTCAGCAATCACACAGTAACAGATGGGGACTGATTGATTGGCAGGTTGTTACTAAACAATCACGTGGTGCACTTTGAAACTCAGACGATATCACAGATGGACTCTCTCTGATTCGATTAATATAGTTACTCAAGGGGCACTCTTTATGCCAGTTGTCGTGGTAAACACAGAAGAAATTATATTGACAAACCAGAAAATACAGGTAAACATGTATCCTTGGTTATATATGCTAGCACTTTATAACTTTTATGTCCTACCTGCTGCCCTGGGTTGGATTGTATGCTCATTCCTGAAGGAGGCGAAGTTCTTAATATTCCTCTCAACCTTGTACAAAGAAGGCCTGGTGACTAGTGGACGTCCTGTTGTCCACTTGATCCTGGTATTGCTGTCACTTAGAGAATGCTCAAGAGCATTATCTCAGAGCCGTGGGCACACTTAAGGAGTGAGTTCAGCTCAGACTGTCACACTCTGGCCTGCCTCTCCAGATCTTTAGAGTGCAGACGATCCTGTGGACTCCCAGCCAAAATGGACAGGGACACAGGAGACTGTTATCACTGTTCATCATGATCAGCCAGTTGTGATCAAGTCACCAATCAGAAATTAACCATGACTGATCTTTGGATTTTATGTTTAAGGACACACTTGATGAATACCCACATTTTATGAAGATGTGTGAAGGTCATTTTATCAGGGAGGCATTTGAGTGCTTGTAGTGTTTTGCCAATGGCAGTGCAGTAAAGCCAAATACAGTTAGAAGGTTGCTGGTATATTTATTTTTGGAACAGGTACATGGCAGGTTATTTTTTATGTTACACAAGGTAACCATATGCACTCCATACAAAAGGATCCCCAGCCTGAAATGAGCCCAGGGCCCATAAGCTGTGAGGCCTCAGTGCTACATGCTATAATACCATGACACCCAATATTTAGTGATCAGGCAATATTTAATGTATTTGCTTTCATACATGCAGTATTTCACAATACTAACTTTGTGTGCTTGATTGAGCTACCAGTTATCCTCCTGTAAGGATACACTAGGGATTGTTCCAGCTATACCCAATGTCTTTAATTCAATCTTGGTGCAGAAGCTCTGAGCAGCTGCAGCTATGACACTCGGTTGTGAGTATTTACCATTTGTTAGCAGTGAGGGAATGCACAACCTAAGCTTTTCATACAGTAAAAAATCAGACTTCCTTGTGCCTGGTGTGGAAACCTAAAATGTTGTTATAAGAGACTCTGTAACAGAAGCAGCTGAAGCTCAATTTATTCTATATACTCTACTCTGTACTTAAATGGAGTTGAATACAATAAGTTTTTGTTCATGTGATTCATTATTTGGTTGTGTATTAGAGCTTCTTCCCAGAAGATTTCAACCAGCAGGCATATCACCCTCACAACTGGCAACCCACTGAAGCTCAGCAGGTGTGAGCCTGGTCAGTACCTGGATGGAGACCTCCTGGGAAAAACTAAGGTTGCTGGTGGAAGAGGTGTTAGTGGGGCCAGCGGGGGTTGCTCACCCTGCGGTCTCTGTGGGTCCTAATGCCTCAGTATAGTGATGGGGACACTATACTGTAAACAGGCAGCGTCCTTCGGATGAGACATAAAACCGAGGTCCTGACTCTCTGTGGTCATTAAAAATCCCAGGGTGTTTCTCGAAAAGAGTAGGGGTGTAACCCTGGCATCCTGGCCAAATTTCCCATTGGCCCTTACCAATCATGACCTCCTAATAATTGGGTTAATTACTATGCTCTCCTCCCCACTGATAGCTGATGTGTGGTGAGTGTTCTGGTGCACTATGGCTGCTGTCGCATCATCCAGGTGGATGCTGCACAGTGGTGGTAGTGGAGGGGAGTCCCCATTACCTGTAAAGCGCTTTGAGTGGAGTGTCCAGAAAAGCGCTATATAAGTGTAAGCAATTATTATTATTATTATTATTATTATTAGTTTAGAGAGTTTAGAGTATTTGTTTGGTGCTATGAGATCTATGTGTCTATTTGTTCTGTCTCAATCTTTCACCTTTTGTTCCATCTTGATTTTGTCACCAGCATGTCTTTGTATTTTACTTGGTACTGTAGTTTATCCTGGTAACACCACTGTTAGCAAACTAGCATGGTTATATATCATGCATTCATGCATTGCAAAGCAGTACAATGCTGGTACTTTGCTGGTGAGAATATGATAATCTCGTTTTCCCCTGATATTGATCTTCTTTAATTTTAGAACATCCTTGCACAGATCTGTTACAATGAACCTCAAAGGTTTCTGATATATGAAATAATTTAGGATAAGAATTGTACCTGTAAAATCCATAGTGCCTTTTTGTCTAAGTATGGGGAAACAAATCTTCATTAAAATAAAGATGTTTATTAATTCTATTTGCAAGTTGCTTGAGGATGTTTTTAATTTGTTTTGGTTATGGATTCAGATGTTAGTGGTTGTTTTTACACTTTTTTTTATCTCTGTATAAACCTGTATAGCACTACAGTCAATGACGCATCCCCCCTGAAAATGCTGTATTTAATTTTGTAGTGGTTCAGATTTGACTTGAATGTTTGGGGTCAGAGAAAAAGTAAACAGGTTGAAGGTGCTCCCAGTCTCTTAAACACACTAGAGTGACCTTTACAATATGAGTCAGCTTCCCCCATGTTCCACAGTTTTAATTCAAATATGTCTGTTGTAGATATCTCATTTAAAATACTTCCAGAGAATTACAGGACTTTTCTGGGGTTTAAGTTTTAGCTCCTGTTTCAGTCTGTGGCTTAGGCACATCTTCAGATGAGGAAATTGATTAAGATCTGCTTAACAGTACAAGCTGCTATTGGTATTTTTGAAAATGAACGTCTTTTATCTAGTTTATCTTTATTACTGCACTGTGTTATATTAAATACATCATTGCACTGGATGAGCAAGAACTATCAACATGTACCTGATGCTTAAAATAATCTATGCATGTGAAGCATCTCACTCAGTTATCCTGTCATGCTCTTTGGTAAATCCTCTGGAAATGAAAATGCCACATGCCATACTACACTACTATTTGAATAGATAGATAATAGAGTATAGATCTGTGGTTCAGCACACCATCCCACTTAACTGTATAAGGGGAGGGGTTCAGCTCAGGGAATGTTGAATTACCAGTTCCTGATCCAAGGTGATCTGCAGAGCTGGCTGCCCATTGGTTCCTGTGATCTATTGCCACACCCCCTTCTTGCCCAGGTGCTTCTGAACCTGCCCCCTTAGCAGGAGTGGTGAGAGGCACCTTCTTTTGCCTCTGTCCCTGGGAACTCATTCACTAATTGTTATCCGCCGCAGCCGCGATCCCCAGAGAGCAAGGAGACAGGATTACCTTCCGACATTGGAGGAGGAATCCAAAGGATCCTGGAAAGGTAGGAAAAGTCTTTTATCTGTACAAGACAGGACATCCAGCAAGGCACATAAAACTAACAAAAGATGTGAAAGAAAACACAAAAGAGGCAGGCAAGAAACATCCTCCAAGTTCAACGTCCAGATTCTGTGTGGATCTGGGAAAAGAGGCAACAGCTGGGCCTCCTCACACTCATTTGAAGCTACATCAGAGACCCCTGTTGCATTTTAAGACTTGTTCTGACTAAAAGACGTGTACAGGTCTCTTGATGTAGAAAAAAAATAATTGACTCACTGAATTGTAAGTGTGTGTACTCAAGGTGTAAGTACATCACTGGTGTAAGTAAGAGGTGTGAAGAGTGTATAAGCAAACACCACCATGTATTTACTGTACAGCCTATAGAGAACTGAACAGAAAATCTGTCTAGCATGTTCTCCGTTTCAATAGAATATACTCTCCAAAGATGTTATTCAGTAAGTTAGCGTCATAAGTATTATTTCTTAAGCTACCCTTACTTGACACCCTTACTGTGTACAAAAAACTAAGTTTTATATGAGTTGATTAAATAGAAATTCCAACTACTGCTTGCTAGGATGGGTGAAAAGTCAATTGTCATGGAAAAGGTATCAAAAACCATCAATTTCCCTTCGGGATCAAAAAAGTCTTATCTATCTATAAGTGTAGCCTACTGGTATTTTAACAATACTTCACATTGTTACTTTTTGAGTCACGTTGGGGATAACAATTTATGTTTTTAAATATATGAATGAAATTAATGAAATTAAGGGGTACTGTGAATTTGGGTATTATATATTAATGTTCCAGACAAAGAATGCAGCAGACTGCAATTTTCAAAAGTGACTTTCGTTTTTATAGCTGACCTGATGATTAATTTTAATAATACTCACAGAGACCAGCATTTCAGCATACTTGTTTGGAACTCCTGGGACTTACAGTAGGTGTTCATTTCTACAAGTCATAACATAAGTATAATGGAGTTCCTATTTTGCCACAAGGATACATTTGCTAGATTGCACTGTAGACTTCAGGATTTAAGAAGTCAGGAACTTCCCCTGAAACACTGTTATCACCAACAGAGGATGGAAAAGAGGACGTAGCAATGCAGAAAGATCATATGACTGCGTATTGCTTCACATTTTCTGTGTGAATCAGGCAAGGGAAATGAGGAGAATGATTAGGGGTGTCTGGAAAAATATCTGCAATATCCCAACTGCACCCACCACCAGATTTAACGCTGAAGGACTTAGACATTGCTTACAATCAGAGAACGTCTACAATTAAAACCCATGGAATGCTGAAATTTCTGCCAACAAGCTAGACTACGTCACTTGTCTGCGTATCTTCTTTTGTGACTCTGACAGGCAGGTTTAGTGCTGACAAGCGTAAAACAATCTTCACCCTAATATTCGTCATTCCTTGCACACGTCTTGTGACTGCTGTAGCACACTTTCGTATGGCCGTTTCTACTTCCTGTTTGCCGTCTTGCATTCCAAGGTGTTGAGATTTGTCCCCCACGGTTCCTGTCTCTTCGTCTGTCTTCCCCTGAGGTGCTTGAGCGGCCTGCTTGCTCGCACAAGAAGTGACAGTGAGGTGTGTGCGGCTTTTGAAAACAGCAGGAGGCTGTTCTCTGCACAGGAGCCTTGTTGGCATGCAGGATGAAACCACTGCGCTGCATTGTGGGAGAAGATTCCCTGTGCGCCTGCCAGAATTGAAGCAATTGATGCAGTTTGCAGTTCAATTTGTGGACACAGAGCCACTCATCTGCCAGTTCTGTCATTGGGCTCCTCTGTCACGTTCACACAGGCACCAAAGTGCCACATTCGTTTGTTTTTGAAAGAGATTTATTTTTTCCGAAGCCAAACCCATTTTACCTAGTTTTTGCCCCACTGCCATGGGGGTGGGCGCGACTGGAAGTGGGAACCCTTGTGTGATTGTGCCCGAGTGGCTCTTGTGACAGCAGTGAAAGTTGGATCCCCCACCGAAGTCACAGGCTTCTCTTGAGAGCCCCCTCCTTTGTACCTTTGATCTATGATAGCAACAGCCGCATTCTGAAGAGAAAGGTGATTAGAGCAATTGAAAGATAGTGTTTCCAGTTCAGCGCCAACAAAAGGCTGGCTGTGCCCTTGCTGTCGCATACCTAGCCCTCTTCTTGGCTTCTTTCATCATCGAGGGGCTGCTTTGCATGGGTGACAGCAACTTCAAATACTGGCTATCAGCTTTAGTAACAAAAGTCTGTCGGCTCTACTGTCTGTAAACTCGTGTGAAAAGGCTGGAAATAAGGTGCAGACATTATAATAATGAGCTGGTGTGTATAAAAGTACTCACAATAGGCACAACTGTTTTGCCTTATATTTTAGGATTTTTAAACTATAGATTTTGTATTTTGGCATTTAATGCATGTGCTGTGTATATTTCTGAATATTAAATACACCCGGCATATTTTAAATATGTCTTTGGCAGTAGTGTGTCAAACTTGCAATTTCTTGTTGCCCGACGTCATAATGAGCAGAGTGAAAACAGTTGGTGCAAAAATGTCTTCTACAGAGTCTTGCATGTAGTTCTTTCACATGGGTCTGCAATTGCAAAACTGGCCTCAAGAATTCTTAAAAGGATTCAAGCTGCTCAGAGTCTGCTGAGTCATAATTACCTGGTTTCAAGTGGGTGTCATTCCGTGTGCAAGATGAGAAAGTCTACAGAAAGCAGACAAGAGTCTTTGGTTTCACTTAATTTTCTTTAGTCAGGCCTGACAGTTGTTCAACTTGAAAATGTTACCAGGCAGGGTAGGAGACTGACTGCTGAAGATGCTATGACTCATGGTGTGGTAGCTTTGAGCTGCTGCTTCTGTGTCCCTAATATGTTTCACAGTTTCTGAATTTTTGAAAGGAGCTGTCATGTGACAGAACCTCTGCACTCACAGAGATGTAGGACAAGCAGTCAACTTCCGTCTCTGAACAGCTTGATCGTCCGCTGTTCCGCTCCTCCCTCAATGAAGCGTCACGGCTTTTGATGTCATGATGTTCCTGCGAAAGAGGTACTGAATACGTGTCTCATGGGAAATCTGGATTTCAGTAGCCTTTCGATTGTTGTGTGAATCTACAGTGAAGATATCTGGTAATTCCCATCCACGACATTGTCGTTTCGGTTCAGAGTGTGTATTCTGAGATTGTCACAGACGTCCAAACCAGGAACATTCCCAAATCTGGGCTCTACAGGGTATAAGCAATGGTGCTGTCATGCTTCAAATCTGTAAGATGACTGTCCTAAGTCTTTCAGAGATCCTCAGTCATTTGGAATTTTTCCTTTAATTTTTTACTTGTTTTAATGATGTGTAAATATACCTAGGTGTTAATGCTTTGGACATACAGCATTTTTTTGCATAAAAAAGTGATTTGTTTCATCTAGCTTTTGAAATTTAAATACCTTAGTCTAACTGACTTGCTTTTATTACTAGAGTGTCTTGAGATCATTCTTACAGAGTGCTGCAGAAAATTGTACCTGTTGTAGTTGTAAAATGACAAGTTCTCAGGATTCAAGATCCTTTTTTTGCATACACGTTGTGAATGGATATTTGTATTTGCCTTCTCAGGGGGATGGGTGGGAGAATATGGTTTGTGCCCAGTGCTGCTGGGCTGGAGGTCAACACAGAAGCAGCTTCTTATAAATGAGTGTTTGGTGCAGTGAGACTTTTGGCAGCTGCCCTGAAAACCTTTTGCTGTGAAGCAAAATGACTAAGTCCCCTTTTGCACTTTCAAGCCTCTGCGGTGCTAGAAGAAAAAAAAATAATTTCCTAAAATTTAGACTTCAATTTAGAATTTAAGTTCTATCCATAGGCTGTGAGCAAGGCCCTGTGTGGGCACAACGGTTTCAGTGCAAGAAAAGCTGAAGGAGATAAGTGGGCCTTTGTGTTCTGATCCTAAGACTTCAAAGAGAGATTTTTCACCCTTTCTTGAAGACTCATGCCTACACAGCCGCAACCCAGTGTCCGGATTGTCTAGACATGACATTGACTTTGAGGAGCTCTTCCACTGGGCTCTGCTGCTCAGTAAAGACCTAAGGGAAAGCAGTAGTATCTCCTCAGGGTGTCTTTCACAGTTTATGTGATTTTCATGACGTTTTGATTGCACATATAACAAATCATCTTTATATTAACCTCAAAAGGTATAAACGGGGACTTTATACTGTGACCTTCAACCATGGAAACTCTCCCTGTGCAATGAAGATTTGTTGCACTAGGGAAACTTTCAGAAAGGTCAGGTTTTTATTAGGCCTCTTTCCTGACAAGCTCAAACACTTCAGGGTGACAACTAAAATAGAAGGGGTAAAGGCAGAGTAGAGCACAAAGGCAGCACATTCTTCATAATTTTGATCTTAATCTTTTCTGGAATATTGGCAGAATATGCTTTCAAAATTCCTTTATCATAAATATGGCAGGGAGCGCAGTATTCATTTTTTAAAAGTCCTGTTATTACTATTACTACGAAAACAACAACAGTAAGATTTCCATGCTTTATACAGTGCTTTTCATCCCAAAGGATTGCAAAGAGCTTCTCATAATGATGAATGACTTCCTCAGAAGTGTATGGAGAGCACAGACAGGATGTTCTTCTGAAATTCCACTGGCTATTTGGAACTGATTACCCATGTTCTAGCCTGCTGTGTCAGCGTGTCACCAAGAACTGAAACTGGAGCTTGCGTGGGCTGGTAGACAGGCTCTCCTTATGTCTTTCATAGACAGTGACAGGGTGTGGCCGTTGCTGCTCTTCTGCTTTTTCGGGGGGGAACTTGAAAAAATGAGTGAAGCGTACCGCCAAAAATGACATCCTTTTTTTTTTTCCTTTTTGCAAAAGAACCTTCTCATCATTCCAAATGAATCTCTGCCAATTGTATTGCTCTGATTTAATTTTCATAATGCTTTATTTTGCCTTGTTTTGCTTTAGGCCACCTGCTTCTGGGATGAAAACAACCCGCAGAGCCAGAAAAATGACAACGTGAAGACTGCTGGGAAGGATAACCTGGTTCCTGAAGGCAACAATCAGCGATGGGCTTCCCAGCATGCTATGCAGGTGGCCCGCACTAGACAGGACTTGATGGATCGAGACACTTTGGTGGGGGAAATAAAGAAAATGGGAAATAAGTATCCCAGGTTGACAAGTCATTATCGCCTGGGGCTGCTGAAACTCACCACAAGGACTACTGACTGGGTGCCCGTGAGTGGTGCAGAGAGATGGCTGTGAAGCTGACGTCTGTGGTCATGCGGAGCCGAATGGTTCAGCTGCTCCTGGTCAACACGCTGGCCTGCGGGCTGGAGATCTGCATGGCGGCAGGGACCACCTATGTACCCCCACTCCTGCTGGAGGCCGGGGTTGAGGAGCGGTTCATGACCATGGTCCTAGGTGAGCTTGTGGGGGGGGGGTGGTTCTGATTGAGCAAGAACAGGCCCTCAGCATGGTTTGCTTCAGGTTTGCAGTTCTTGATGTCCCATTGTTGAGCTCAGTTTGGAGTCAAAAGGGAGGCACAATGTGTGGATGTTGTGTACAGTGTATCGCCTAATGGAAGAGGTTTTCCCCTTTCATTGGGGCCTGGAAGCCTGAAGCCTGGGTGAGTTTAATATCCCCTTCAGGTATAAACAGCTCTTGGTCAGGTGGAAGTCAAGGTTTGCCTAGACTATGTCATCTATTTTTCATGGCCAAAAGGAAGATGGAGAGACCTAGAAGACCAGGGCAGGTTCTGGACCCTAGGGTCTGGAGTAGGACACCCCCTTCCCTAAGGTTTTAAAGGGGAAGAAACTGCTTTACCCTGCCCCTGCCCTACCCATTTAATTAATTAACTTACAGAGTAGACAGCTTGCCTACGGAGGTAAAGGAGTACGAAAGAGATTTAACTCCTGCATTCTTCTCTGTTGCAGAAACAAAGAGAAAAGTGTGAAAAGTGTAATACAAAAGAACAGACCGCTTAGCTTCTGGCAGTCTGCATTTTATTGCATTTTGATGGAAAAGCACAAGGTTCTTGAATAATATGGATTGCCCTTCTCCTGTTAGGGATAAATGTGAATTGCATATGAATCCAGAAATGTTTCAGTGTGTAACTGAAGTAAAGCTTGGAGAAAAACTTAGAGAAAGTATTGTACAGGAGCCCAGGCAAACAAATTTCCTTCTCCATTGTTTCTTTGCATTGGCAGGACTGGGTCCTGTGCTGGGGCTCGTGTTCATGCCACTGATTGGCTCAGCCAGTGACCAATGGACGGGGCGCTATGGCAGAAGACGGCCATTTATCTGGGCCCTGTGCCTGGGGGTCCTGGTCAGCCTGATCTTCATCCCCCAAGCGTCGCGGCTGGCCAGCCTCCTGTCCCTGCACAGCCGGGGCCTGGAGGTGGGGCTCCTGATCGTGGGGATCGGCCTACTGGAGTTCTGTGGCCAGGTCTGCTTCACGCCCCTTGAGGCCCTGGTCTCCGACCTCTTTCCGGAGGAGGAGGAGAACCGGCGGGCCTTCTCGGTCTACTCGCTCATGATCAGTCTGGGCGGCTGCATCGGGTACCTCCTGCCAGCCATCAACTGGAACGCGGGGCCCTTGGCATCGTACCTGGACGGGCAGGAGGTCTTCACCTTCACCCTGCTCACACCCATCTTCCTTGCCTGTGTGCTGGGCACCATCTTCATCTCAGAGGACGTTTTCCGTGGCGAAGCTTCAGTCAGGGAAGGGAGCCCTGCCCGGCGTTGCTGCTACAGCCCGTGGCTGCCCCTCTTCCGCCCCCACCACCTGACGTCTGTCCTGGGGGGCTGCTGCACCCTGCTGCCCCGGCTGTACCGGCTGTGCCAGCGAGTGCCCAGTGTCATCAAGCGGCTCTTTGTGGCTGAGCTGTGCAGCTGGATGGCACTCATGACCTTCATCCTCTTCTACACGGACTTCGTCGGCGAGGGGATCTACAAGGGGGTGCCCAGCGCCCAGCCTGGCAGTGCGGAGAGGCTGCGCTATGACGAAGGTAAGGTTAGCTCCTGCCTGCTCGGGGTCTGCTAGTGTGTGGCCCAGGGGGGCAATGCAATTAGTGGATTGCAGAGAAATAGGACAGTGCAGCAGTCAACAGGTTAGAGGCTGAGATATGTAGGACTCTGAACATAACAGGAGTCTTTTATAATAATAATAATAATAATAATTGCTTACACTTATATAGCGCTTTTCTGGACACTCCACTCAAAGCGCTTTACAGGTAATGGGGATCCCCTCCACCACCACCAATGTGTAGCCCCACCTGGATGATGCGACAGCAGCCATAGTGCGCCAGAAAACTCACCACACATCAGCTATCAGTGGGGAGGAGAGCAGAGTAATGAACCCAATTATTAGGAGGCCATGATTGGTAAGGGCCAATGGGAAATTTGGCCAGGACACCGGGGTTACACCCCTACTCTTTTCGAGAAACACCCTGGGATTTTTAATGACCACAGAGAGTCAGGACCTCGGTTTTATGTCTCATCCGAAGGACGGCGCCTGTTTACAGTATAGTGTCCCCGTCACTTTACTGGGGCATTAGGACCCACAGAGACCGCAGGGTGACCGCCCCCCGCTGGCCCCACTAACACCTCTTCCAGCAGCAACCTTAGTTTTTCCCAGGAGGTCTCCATCCAGGTACTGACCAGGCTCACACCTGCTGAGCTTCAGTGGGTTGCCAGTTGTGAGGGTTATATGCCTGCTGGTTGAAATCTTCTGGGAAGAAGCTCTAATACACAACCAAATAATGAATCACATGAACAAAAACTTATTGTATTCAACTCCATTTAAGTACAGAGTAGAGTCTATAGAATAAATTGAGCTTCAGCTGCTTCTGTTACAGAGTCTCTTATAACAACATTTTAGGTTTCCACACCAGGCACAAGGAAGTCTGATTAACAAATGTTTCTGAAAGAGCCAGGACTTTTTTTTTCTTTCTGATGAGATCTTTTCCCTAACCGTTGAACAATCTATCCTCTGTGATCACATCCTGATAATCTCCCACACTTAATATGTTGTTTTTTACTTTTTACTGTATGAAAAGCTTAGGTTGTGCATTCCCTCACTGCTAACAAATGGTAAATACTCACAACCGAGTGTCATAGCTGCAGCTGCTCAGAGCTTCTGCACCAAGATTGAATTAAAGACATTGGGTATAGCTGGAACAATCCCTAGTGTATCCTTACAGGAGGATAACTGGTAGCTCAATCAAGCACACAACGTTAGTATTGTGAAATACTGCATGTATGAAAGCAAATACATTAAATATTGCCTGATCACTAAATATTGGGTGTCATGGTATTATAGCATGTAGCACTGAGGCCTCACAGCTTATGGGTCCTGGGCTCATTTCAGGCTGGGGATCCTTTTGTGTGGAGTGCATATGTTTACCTTGTGTAACATAAAAAATAACCTGCCATGTACCTGTTCCAAAAATAAATATACCAGCAACCTTCTAACTGTATTTGGCTTTACTGCACTGCCATTGGCAAAACACTACAAGCACTCAAATGCCTCCCTGATAAAATGACCTTCACACATCTTCATAAAATGTGGGTATTCATCAAGTGTGTTCTTAAACATAAAATCCAAAGATCAGTCATGGTTAATTTCTGATTGGTGACTTGATCACAACTGGCTGATCATGATGAACAGTGATAACAGTCTCCTGTGTCCCTGTCCATTTTGGCTGGGAGTCCACAGGATCGTCTGCACTCTAGAGATCTGGAGAGGCAGGCCAGAGTGTGACAGTCTGAGCTGAGCTCACTCCTTAAGTGTGCCCACGGCTCTGAGATAATGCTCTTGAGCATTCTCTAAGTGACAGCAATACCAGGATCAAGTGGACAACAGGACGTCCACTAGTCACCAGGCCTTCTTTGTACAAGGTTGAGAGGAATATTAAAAACTTCGCCTCCTTTAGGACCTGACTATTTCATCATTAAAGATCCCAGAGCCCCGTACGTAAGGCCAGAGACTAAAAAGCTCCACCCCTTATAAAGCACTTTGGGATTAAGAGAGCTATTTAATGCTATTAGTTATTAATTATTATATTAGGCACTGCACAATTGCAAATTGCACAAGAACACTTGGAAGAACCACAGCCAAAGTTTCTGCCTGCAATCATTTCGCAGACATGGCTTGACAAGAAGTCGGGAGTTTCAGAACTGATCAGCAGCGGCCTGATTTTGGGGCGTCACGCTTTAACATGTCCTCAGCAGCCTGCCACCGCTTCTGTGCCCGTGTGTGTTGCAGGCGTGCGAATGGGCAGCCTGGGGCTGTTCCTGCAGTGTGCCACCTCCACGGTCTGCTCCTTGTTCATGGGCAAGCTGGTGGCCCGGCTGGGGCGGCGGGCTGTCTATGTGAGCAGCGTGGTGCTCCTGGTCCTGGCCACGCTGGCCACGTGCCTCTCTCACAGCGTGGTCACCGTCACCGCCATGGCGGGCGTCACCGGGTACACCTTCTGCACCCTGCAGATCCTCCCCTACACCCTCACCTCCCTCTACCACACCGACAAACAGGTGAGTGTTTTCAACAGCTCTCTCCTCCGGTTATTTGCTTAGCAGACACCTTAAGAGTGACTAATATTTACTTTGCTCCTGGAGGGGAAAAGTAATGCGCATGGAAGTGTGTCTCGTCATACAGGCACTGCACTATTAATCTCTAGAAAGAGCTACCAAAACACATGTGCAGTGCTTGCTAATGAGAGGGTAATGGAAACCCAATGTCTTCATAATTTTAATATAGTTCTTCGTATATTTCACTTTTCAGCTATTTTTTTCCTGGACGAAAGTAAGAGGCGTGGCAGCCCCTGAGAAAACAGAGAAGTTTACCACTCAGGTACCACTCAGCAGGCACTCTGTGACCCTGAAACCACACTACAGCAATGGCCACCCATGTGGGATGCCAGGGCTGGGGCCTTCAGAACCAGGCCTCCCTGCCTCTGCTTTTGGCCGGTATGTCTCTGTGCCTGCTGAGGCTCCCCCCTGCCCCAGCACACCGCCTCCTGCTGGTCGGGGCATGTGTTTGGACCTGGCCATCCTGGATAGTGCCTTCCTGCTCTCCCAGGTGGTGCCCTCCCTCTTCTTGGGCACCGTGGTCCAGTTCACACACTGCATCTCTGCCTACATGGGCTGTGCCTCGGCTGTTGGGTTAGTTGCTGTTTACTTCTCTACCAAAGTGATCTTCGACAGGAGCGATCTGGAGCAATGAAGGCGGCTAGCTGGAACAGGACCAGGACCATCCCTGAGCTGGGTCAACGGGCATGTAAACTGAGAAGATCGCTGCAGCAACAGCAGGGACAGAGTCACAGGGGAGTCCCCCTGAGTCACTAAGGGACACTCTCTGGGGACTTTGAACTGCTATGCAGGTTAACCTGATTTTTGGGGGTGTTTGTGAGTTTTCAAGACTGTAGCTGTTCACAATGTGAATATGTGTAAATCTAGATTTTGTATTGGAAATCTTGGAATAGAGTCAGATTGTTTTATTTATGTTAAGAAGATTTCTGGGGGAAGTAACATGGAATGACAGACGTGAGAAGCCCAAGGCTGGGGGAACACCCCTTATTTTGAGCAGAGCTGAAGCATCTTTCCTCTGCTACTCAGTTTATGTCAGTTTGCAGACTCTACACGCAAATCTGTGAGTGCAATGAGTGAAACTCAGGGTTCCTAATGAAGAAGTGCCTAAAGAGATTGAAATAATTTGATTATTTCTATGTGCAATGTGTTCTCAATAGGAAGAAAAAAAAAACATGGTTATACACAGTAATACAATGTCATTCCTCATTCATGTGCACATTGCACATTCATTTTCTGAAAACCATTTAATATTCAACTTTACCATGTTAAAGCAATTAAACATCATAATGCAGGGATTGTAAAAAACACTTCTGAGAAATGATAACCTAATAGCAATGAATACAGGGTGTGTATAAATTAGGTTAATGAAAACCGCAGCTCTGCAGGTCTCTAGCTCTCTTTAAGAACGTGCAAAGAAACCAGAAATATTGCCAACTATTTGGCCCTGTAGCCCATTTGGTTGGTTGATTTGAGACTTCCCGAGGCAGTGTTTGAAGGACACCAGAGTAGGGGATTTGACAGTGAATGCAGCTGGGGAGCAATGAGGTAAAATAGAGTCAGCTGATCCAATGAATTTAGAGGTTTACAGATGTCTTTCATTGAACTAATTGCCTGACCCATTTACTGTGCTGGTTTGTTTGTGATGTTTATCAGCTAGGTTAAGTATAATCTAGGGACCGGGCAGGACTGTGACTCTTTGTTTCTACACTTGGCCTCCACCAATGACATCGACTTTTTTCAGCATTTGACTTTGTATCACCCAGGACCAGAAAAAATTCTGTCAGCAACATTTCAGTAAATAGCCTAATATCATTTTCCTGGGAGGTATTATTCTTCAGTGCTCTTTTGTGTGTGAGTGTATGTGTGTGTATATGTTAAAGTATATATATGTTACAGTGTTGCTTTTTGATATGTGGACCTGAATACAGGACTTAATGACCTGTATGTGACATGCCAGACACTCCTGTCAATGCTAGTTTGTCACTAATGAAGGCTATTTATTGTTACCAAATGCACTGGACATGAATGCTCAAGGTGTAGGCTGTGTGACATGATGCTGGGGGTTATTAAAATAGAATGCACTTTGACAAACAGGTATTTTACTTTGTTACACAGCTCTGTTAGTAACCCTCTGCGCATTTTATGCAGTTACAGGCACAGGTATAGACACTCCTTCTGATGTTTAACTGTAATTGTTTGACCAAATCAGACACCTAGTAAGTAGCAGTCTGAGAATTCTATTAACTCTCTAATCTAAGACACAGGGTATGAAGAAAATGTCTGTAGAAGTTTCTAGATTTTTAGCACATATAAATACTTATGTCTGCTATTGTAATCATTAGACTGGTCAAGTACTATGATTAAAGAAGGGATATATTTAAAATCTAATGTTAACATTCTATATATTAATGTTTGTTGGTAGATGGAATTGTGTTACAAAACCACATAGCAACAAGATATTACAGTACATGCATGAAGGATGAATGTGCATTTCAAATGTCAAATGGGATGAACAGATCATCCTGTCAAGATCACAATGTATTCAGTCTTAGTTTGCAACTTTAATTATAGGTACTTTATAACTTGGATAGTGGGAAATTGTATTTGTACTGTATATATATAAGGGTGAAAATGGGATATTTATTTTTTATTATTTTTAAGGGAATTTTTCACTCAGTTTTAAGATATATTTTCTATGAGAAAATGAGTACATTATTTATTAAATACTTAATAAAATTATTGTATAGCTAAGACATCATTGAAAAGAAAGATATATAAATATAAAGAGAAATTCAGTATACCTCTAAGGCATCCATGAAAAACCTTTAACTTCAGAAGATTAGTTTTTATCAAATGCTTGAATTGAATGTGATGTTAGGCTGCAGGAACTGAGAAATTCTGAATTCTTAGGAAGGCAATTCTGTCATTAACCCAAAGCAGTATCTCTGTCATGTTTGCTTCGGAAGTCTTTTGGCTTTGATAATGAAACAAACCGTGTGAGGTAGCATCCTTAACTGGTTAAGCCAGATATAACCAAGTCGACCTACCAGTTTCAATTATAAAGGTAATTCACTTTCTTATGAAGCACCTGTTCTGAAATGTACTGTAAGAACAAATGGGCTTTGCTGATGTTACCATGATGAGTCGTTCTGTCCTGCTTCTGCAAATCTGTTGTTCTGCTATTGAAATGGACGTCATCATCCAGCTATTTTCTAGTGATAAATAATCTTTGTACTTGGTTTCTTGTACTTGTTTTGTTCAAGTTGCTGTGAAACACAAGGATAAACGATCTAGCTAGCAGCTACATTTTCCATTGTGCAGAGAAAGCTATAATGGGACATAGATTATTTTTCTTGGGTCATAAATGAGCTTTGCATCTCTTTCTTTGTCCTTATGTGATTTAAGCTTTAAGAGCATTAAGAGAATGGATGGATCTGGATTTAGGGGAAAGGCCACATTTAAGTATAGTTCATTTGTATTTCTCAAAGAGAATTTAGATCCTGTTTTTGGACTCTTCCACTGTACATAAACTGTGCAAAATTCAACAACTGCTACAGAGCTAGGTCTTTTCCAGTTTCTCACAGAGTAACTTTGTTCATATTAAGTCAAACTTTTAACCAACCTTAGACTGCAATTGACAAAACTAGTACTTAATGGTTAAGGCTTTATTGGCCAGAAATGTATTTCTTCTATTAGATGGAAACTACCTTGAAGTACAAAGTCTGCAATTTGAGACTGGCAGTAGAGCCTTAAGTTCCAGACCTTAAGATGTAGCAAGATACAGTTTGGGTATAAAAAAGAGAAATCAAACTTTTTTAAACTTTAAAATGAGTTAATGTGCATTTTGTAGTTTCTTTTTAGAGTGGGGAAATTAGAATCTGTATGTAGGTAGAAAAGTGGAGCAAATTCTGCACTGAAACAATACATTTGACGGTTGTCCTGGTGGTTTCTTCAAGCTTTTCCAAAGAACAGATTCACCCATCTGCTCCTTCTTTCTACAGAGTCAACAGGATCTGTTGGCTCTTGAACAGAAGGCATTTTCAAATAATGTATTTATGGTGTTACTTAAAAACTTTTTCCAAAGCTGCTCTGTATCAAAATGAAAATGAAAAATCAACATTAAATGATGGTTTGTTACTTAATGAAATTCTTTTTTCCTTTTCTTTTAAAAATGATTGAATACTGATAGATGATCAAGAAAGGTCATGTTGACAGAGGCCCATTCCACCGGTCATTCATTACTCTTAAGTGAATCAATCACAGCACCTTCTAGAATTGAAGACTCCCAGTAGCTCTGAGAAAAGTATTTATTATACTGCTGTTAGAAGCTAGACAGCCTGAACTGATGTTTTTTTCTTCCAAGAATGAGCAAATGTTCTCTGTTCTCCTTCTTCTGTGTTTTGGAAATAAATTATACTAATAAATAAAAACAGGTAAGTTTATATTTTTTACTCATTTTATTTCAGAAGATCATGTTTTAAAATCAAAAGAAAGCTCAAATTAATGCTCCCCACCTGCTATAAGAGTTCAAGCTAAAATAAATGACCATAGCAAGAAACGGAAAGTAACTCAATTATTTTAATGTTGATGATTTAAAAAATACTCAGGGCAATGTTTCAACTACTAAAGCAGGAATCTTTTATTTTAATTAATTGTATTTAAGAACTTAATCACTCTTCTGCCCAATTAGTTCGCTTGTAAGACATACAGTACCTGACCTGAAAAGATAGTACAAAGTGCCATTGGCATTGAAGCACTTTAAACACAACAGCGTAGTTTTCTAACAAATAACCAGCAGAGGGAGCCATAGAAGCAGATCACTTACAGGGTTTATACATCGAAGTACTATGTCACCGCAGCGTTTCGTCTGATCAATTCTAATATCTAAAAACAGATGTATATCGATTTAATCTTACTAGAAATGTGTTAAGTAATGAAATGTCAAGCATTGCATTTTTAGTTGTGTTGGTTGATAATGTGTGTTAAATCAATCATGCACAGCATGAGAGAACAACGCAAAAAAAATAATTTTGATGATTGAAGACCCAGCCGGAAATCTTGTGGTCTGGCACTAGTGTGTAATTAATTCGTGTGTGAAGCTTCACTCCGCATCTTTGACATCCAGGCACAGAATCAAAAGCGGGATGATCCTTTTTATTGATTACCCCTAGCAGAAGAGATGGGGTGTGGTCTGTACTGTGGTGTCATGAGTTAATCAGCGGTAAGAGACATACAGGGAACCTCCACCTCCAATCCTTCTTTGCTCAGTACCAAGCATTGATGATATCGGCTCGCTTTCAAATACTTTAGTAGGTCAGACAAAAGATTAGTAGCCACAATCTACAATCAAATAGCAAATGTTTGATTGTCTTTGCAAACGAATGTACTGCTGTCAGGAGTGCTCTCGTCGCACTTCAAGCAGTTACCCAATGACACTGCTGGTATTTCACTTTGATGGCCACAGAGGGGCTTTTGACCTCAGTGTCTGTCTGCGCTACACCCTAGGGCAAACAAGAAGGACATTGTTGAAATCGCTGAAGGGATTTAAGACAGTGAACAGACCAGTAAATAAAGTAAAAGTCATCCTCAGTCTGGGATGAACTAACTGTGAATGTCATTTGGGAAGCAAAAAATTTCCCCTTAGTACAAATTGAGAAACCTATTGTGTTTGGTTACTAGATAAAATGAGTGGTAGATGCGTTTGCCTGAAACCTAGCCTGTCTAGTGCTGCTGCTGGCTCTGCTAAATGTTTCAAGTAAAGGCACTGCAACTATAAACTTCACTCTTTGGGACCAGCCTGTGTCTCTGTTGGGTACCTTGAACAGTGGTCAGGCCTGCTTTGCATCACATAGATCCAGAAAGAAAATGGCTGTGGCTGGCGGAGCTCCAGCCAGGTCTCATCACATACCTGTTCTGACAAGGTGGCTGTGGTGCCTCCAGCGGAATTCCACTCTCTGACCTCTGACCCCGGTGAAGGTCAATAAGGCTCTTTCAGAGAATTCCACCCCAGGACAGCAGCTCAGTGCATGATGGGCTGGAATTCATGCAATGCCATTTTCCTGATTTTCCAGTCTCGTTACCGCTGGAGGCCTGTCTCCTGACCCAAGGGCATCTGAGAGATCTGTCCTCTGACAATGGCCAACATTTCTCTGTTCAGTCCACTGCACTTGACTGACAGACTGTGTAAGCCCTGACTCATTTCTCCCTTTTACACAGTGGTTTACATTCATGGGAGTGGGACACAGAGCACTGTAAATGCCAGGCAGGTTTCAGTTGTGAAGAGTGTTTGTACAGCCTGGTCAGCACTGGACAGCTTTATACTTTAAAATCTGCTTAAAGCTTTTGTGCAATGTTTGATTTGGCAGGGAGGGCTGTATGACATGCTGGTGTGAAAGTCCTTGGGCATACTGACACATGATACAGTATAGCACAACAGCTACAGCATTGCATTAAATAATTAAAGAATGGTCTACAACTGAAGTCAATGAAGCACTAATAACATTGGCAAAAGATTTCCTTAGAAAGCGCACACATTTCACCTACATTGTTTCGCTTAGTTCACAACAAAATGCCCAACAGATACTATTTGCAGTAAATGTTGAATGGATTGGTGCCTAATTTTGACTTTGACAGCACAAAAAGCACTGGATGTCTCTTTTTCATAGAAGTACAAAACAAAAATTTGTTAAAGGTTATCATCACAGAAAGTTTAGGTGTTAAGTTTGAGTGTTAATAGTCCAGGTTAAAACATTTAATAACCAATTTTATATAGAAGTATTTATTTTCTATATTTAAAAAACGTCTACTATTTATTTATTTTGGGTTATGAAGATTATTGAGACATTCTGATTTGTTTTTAATCTTAGGCTTTTTCGTTTTTTATTTGTTAATGGATTCATGTTATGTTAAACGTATTATGTATTGTGTATGTATTTTTATCTGCCTGCAGAGCAAATCCCAATGAAGTTAATAAAGGAAGTAACTAAGTATTCTCAGAAACACACTAATTCTGGGTAATGGTCAGATGCAGCTTGGAGACAAAACCAGACAAAATGGTTCTGAAAGGCAGTACAAAACCACTAGGGAATCATACAAACCCCACAAGCTGGAATTTAACCCAGGACCAAAGAACTCTGAGACAGAACACCAACATCTGTGCCGCTATCAACATTTAAATGGTGAATTTCTGACAAGCCTTTTATTTAAGCGTTGATTCACAATGACCTGATTTTCCATGTGCACCTCATGTGATGTGATAGTAACCAGGAATGACTGCTAGAAGCTGGATATGGGTAGGACCAGTTCCTGAAATGTGACACTAACAGACGTGAGCTACTATAAAAAAAAAAACTTCCAAGAAATGACAAAGTGTGTTATTGATTTACTGGGTAAAGTAGGATGTTTGCATTTCGTTTTATCAAAGATCCTGTGTTTACTGCCTAAACAACTAGCAGATTGAATCTGCAGTGCAGCTGACATGTTTGTACACTTTTTATGTTTAGACAGAGCCCTAGGTTACATTTCCAGCTTGGTAATGTCATTTCGTTCTTCAATCTTTCACAAAACATTGCATTGATGGAGGATTTCGCTTTATGTCCAGGTGCACATTTTCCATATTCTTACACTGAAGTTATGGATGATTTATATGTATGATAAACACTGAATAAAGTCCTTCTTGAGTCTAATAGCTCAGTGGTTAACATTGCTGCCTCATGGCACTGGAGCCCTGGGCTCAATCTCTGGGGTGCTATCTGTGCACAGTATTTGTGTGGGTGCTCCAGTTTCTTTCTACAGTCCAAAGACATGCTGGAAGGTTAATTGGCTTCTGGAAAACTTGGCCTGGTGTGAGTGTGTGTCTGTCAGCCCTGTGATGGTGTCCTGTCCAGGGTGTAGCCTGCCTTGCTCTAGTTGCTTTCTGGGATAGACTCCAATTGATGATTGCAAGATTCTGCCCTGATGTCCCAGATGTATGAGGTCAGTTAACTGCTCATCGGTGTTGGTATAGGTCCCCATAGTTTAGGACATCGTTAGAAAGGAACTATAAATTCATTCTGCACTGCTAGAAGTATGTCATCAATAATGCAGCAGTTCTACAGGTGCTAGAAATAAAGTAGGAAAAAACAGCTGACAGGTGCTGTTACCTCATCAATCAGGAGTCTTTAGCACTTTTGAATAGTAGTGAAAGATATGAATAGGAGAGGTGCTGGGCCTGGATGTATTTTTTTTTTTCACCAAACAAATCAGCTGAAAATAAAAAGCATGCGAATGTGACCTCAGCCAGTCCTTTGACACAGTTGTCTGTGTTGTTTTGTGGGACTTCTTTCTGCAGGGTGTAAACACACACAGCTGTGTACACCAGGGGGGCACCTTGTCCCTCGGCTGCCTGACTGAGATCAGACAATAGGGGTCCAAACACGTTTCTTGCCTGCATTTCCTGTGAGGACTGGAGAGAATCAGAAGGTGGGTCACTCAAGCAATGTGGGTCATCCTGGGCAGGAGACACATTGTGCTTAATTCATACTTCCTTAAGTCTATGCTTTTTGAGCATTTTAACATCTCAATACTCCCACCCACTTCTTGAAAGAAGTCTTAATTTCTTTTGGCCTAGCTGTTTCATGCAGAGCACTGCAGGGTAGCAGTGAATGGCTTGAAATCTCCTTCACCTTGACTCACTAAGCCACCAGTTATTGTCATTATGTAAAAGCAATACAGAAGGACCAGCGCTGCAGATACTGCAAGGACAGGAGGATGATGAGCAAAGACAGGAACAACGCAGTAGCCTGCCTTTCTTAGTTTCGCCATATTTTCTTGTGCTCAGGGTGACGGTCGTTGGACAGGTAAAACAGGTGTTTAAGGAAACCCACAGAAGCCATTGCGATTGTGAAACCGTGTTCACTCCCATTCGGATACAGTTATTAAAGTGAAAATGTCTTTCAGTCCCGCGGGGGATCTGTCGCACTCGGTGATGAACGCATTGTTTATGTCTTGTCAATGCGAGCAATGTGGCTCGATCTCGTCGTGTGCCAGACGAGATATCCGATTGCCCCCCCCCACTGAGACAGAAAACTTCGAGCACCACGTGTGCTCGGGGAGGTGGGAGGGGGGAGAGGAAGAGAAGTACAACAATGCGATGACGCCGCTCAAAGCCTTCGCCGGGGCTCTTTAGCAGCGGCAGCCAATGAGAGTCACAAGATCGAGGCGAGCCTCCCCGCATCCCAGCCAATGGGAGTGGCGGAATGGGATCCGAGCCCCCGGGTGCAGTCATGTGACGGGCCCCTGCAGTGGGATAGAATGCCAACATGGAACTGTAGCAGGGGACTGGCTCGAGCTCGCGTGGGACGATAATTGCATTTTAATAACATTTCTGTCGTTTTGACTGACGGAGTTTGCGAAGTACTCGGATGAAACATTAATTGAGAAATTACAGGAAATATGGATGTCTCGTGGTACCGTGTTAAAGGTAACGCTGTTTTTTTAAAACTTGTTTAAAAGTGCTCAGTTAACTTTATGAATTCGAAGTAGTTTCTGTATTTCTGTGTACCCAATATCCGTGCTAATACCCAAATTGTAAGTTGCGTGTACGGTTTTATTTTTAAGTCAACACGCACTACAACAGCTTGCGAAAATTAAACTCCACGTATACTTTGGGCTGAGGCTGTTTTAACACGCTTCTGCAGATGTCAAGTCATGGGTTCGTCTTTTGTCTCGCCCAAGTTATCGGACAGCTACCCGCCCCGCGTTTTTGCACACCGCACTCCCCTGGAGTTAGTGAAACGAGCCTCTTCTGCGCCGTCTTCGTCACTCTCTTCTGCTTTTTCGATCTGAGGATTCAAACCGTCCCCGAAGCGCAGGAACATTTTTCCCCGAAAGTTTAATCTTTCATGTACTTTTTAATTGCAATGAGTGACTTCTCCCTGAAACAGATGCCTTGCCTCTCAATTTCACATATGGCGTCAACACCTCCAGGAAATTCCTAAACGCACGAATATATATTCTAGCCAGGGAAACACGATGGAATGCGCAGATATTACTCAGAGGCAATTCATAAAAACTGCAGGAGCTCTGTATCTTGGAGCGACTCTGTTTTCATCCTCCTGAGTTGTTGCATCAGCCACAGAAGGCGAAGGCGAGGTGCTGTAGTTGTTGTCGTTTGTTTCCGTGCAGCATGTGGTGCGATTCACTGTCACGAGCCCTTCGTGATCAGAAGACTGCTGTGCACTCGCCGCGCTTTCGTGCTGTATATTCATTTAGATTTCGGAAACAACCATCGCTTTCCCCACCCCACTTATTTTCGTGAGCAAGCGGTTTGTTAATATCGACCCAGAAAAGTACTGTAAGGCTGGAAAACCAATAAGCTCCTTTAATAAAACTAATACTGCAACAGGATTGTATGTCCTTACCATTCTGGTATTTTGCGTCAAATAATTTCCATTACTCGGTGAAATTGACTTGCTCGCTGAATTGCACATACAGTTTTTTAAAAGTTCTTAAAACGTTTCCAATTAAAAAAAGGAAAAAGCAGGCGACGACTGCATGCATAACTTCGTCAGCCAGCCACGTAATTTAAAAGCCATACGTGGCGGGCTGACGAACAGTTGAACATGATCAGTTTGCCAGTTCGTGTGTTAAATATACTTTTTTGGGTCTTGTGAATGCACTAATGCGGCTGTGACAAGGCCGTGGTCCTTTTAAAGGGGAGTTAAAAGGGTGAGGTATGAGCTAAATGTATCTATTTTTTTCCACGTAGCACGGAAGATGTTTATTTCACCTAGAGCGAAGGATCAATTAAAGTGACGTGGTTATGGTTTTTCAGAAGCCTGTTGTGTTATTTCGGGTTGTGTTGTTTTATTTCGGTAACAAAAGTAATTTCAGCTCCCAACTGGAATGAAATGAAGGGTCGTGTCTGCGGAACCAGAGACGCCCTTCAGGCGCGTCATTCGGGAGGAGTGAACAGTCGTTTTGCTAAAACCCGATATTAGTTTTTGATTCCATTGTAAAGACTTCAGCCGTTATACCAGGTGTCGGTTGAAGCCAGACGCGCCCGAGTGCTTGTTGTGTCAACACGTGTGCTGTAGGAAACAGCGGCGCTGCTCTCCGCGAAACGCTGACAGTTTGAGGGAGTCTGGGGTTCTTACTGGCTTTTTTCCCCCTTCCACACTGTTATGTAAATATACAAGTGTTTTCATTTCGTGGTCATTGTTAGCAACCACACCATTTATCGTTACGATGAAGTGATCGCAATTTAGTTCAAGAAGTTACCCCTCACAATCTTAGCTGGATAGAACAGGCCAGAGCTTTTTCCAAATTGTGAGAATAGGAAAGTCGTCTTATTAGGCCCCACTATTTAACCATAAAGTGAATTAAGCTGTCTGGGGAAAACTGTGTGTTTGTGTCTGTGTCCACCCTGTGATGGAACAGCCACCTGTCCAGGGTGTGCCCTGCCTTGCACAGGGTACTGGGGTACTATCTGCATGGTGTTTGCATGTTCTGTTGAGAAAACTGGCCCTGGTGTGAGTGTGTGTGTGCCCTGCAATAGACTGGTGTCCCGTCCAGGGTGTATCCTGCCTTGTGCCCTTTGCTTGTTGGGATAGCTGGATATATTTTGAAAGATCTTATGGAAGTCCACTTATTCATTTTGCCTGTTGTGCTACCTTTCCCTCAGGCTGATGGTCAAGTGTGGATTCTGCTAGGCTCCTGCAATCTGGTGGCATTGACCTTTGACCTGGCCCCGGTCTCTGCAGCTTTTCTCCTACTGATCTGCTGCAACAAATGGTCTCAGTAAGTGAAAGACAGGTGTTGACCGTCAGTTCTGACACGCCAAGGGCTTCTGCAACAGAGTTGCTGTCTACTAGTTATGGTTTGCCTCTCAAGGGCAGCACAGTGGCACCCTCTGCCTGTGAGGAGGCGGAGTGCAATGTCAGCGAGGAGGCCAGTTTGGCATCGTGCTCCAGCTCTGAGTCCCAGGACACAGGGAGCCTGGGCTCAAGCCCAGCGCAGGAGAGCGGATTGCTGGGTGTGGTTCTCTCCTCGGCAGTGAGTGAGGAAGGGGCATCCTCCCCTGGTCTGCAAGGCAAGATGCCCGATTTCTGCTCCACGCTTCCCAGCGACTTCTCTCCCACTCTGGAGGAGATAGAGGAGTTTCTGAAGGAGAAGATGGATCTGGTCAAAGAAGGAGACATGGAGACAGGTGACCCGGCGGCAGCTGCCCCATCGGGGGACACGCCAGACAGCCGACCGCAGAGGGCTTCAGCAGCTTCGGCAGTAGCCGCTCCCTCGGCGTCCAGCCCCGGTCCGGACAGTGCCTCCACCCCCGTGATTGTGAGCGCGCCTGTGTTGCTTCAGCTTCAGCCTTTACACTTGACCCTCCCGTCAGCTGAGCCCCGGGCCTCACAGACTGATCCCACGGGGCTCCGTGTGGCTCACCTGGTGCTGAGCGTCCAGGGGGCCCAGAACTTCGCCCTCCTGCCCCAGGCGGCTTCTGCTGCGCTGGTGCCCGTGGCGAGCGGCGGCAGCACCAAGGACCAAAAGTACGTGAAGATCGCCCCCTTGCCGATTGCGGTGAGGGCTGTGGGCACGGCCGCCAGCCTTCTGAAAGCCATCCCCGCCCGCGCGGCCAAGGCGCCATCCGAGGTGCTGCGGGTTCACAAGTGCACGCACCCGGGCTGTGAGAAGATGTACACCAAGAGCAGCCACCTGAAGGCCCACTACAGGAGACACACCGGGGAGAAGCCCTACATGTGCAGCTGGCCGGACTGCGGCTGGAGGTGAGTGGCTCTTGGCTGCACCCACAGACTAAGAGCGTACCCCAGTGGAGAAGATAGCTCTGGGGACACGGGGATATGACAGACGTTCAGCTGTATTCACTGGGGCTACTGTAGACGCAGCTTAACCAGCTTTCCCCCTTCAAGCCTCACTTGGAGAGATTACTACTCCAAACCTGAAGGTTTTACACAGGCTACACAGTTACTAGAGACTCCAGACTTTGTGTCTTTTATACAACATTGCTCGTTGACCTGAATTCCTAAGAAGCCTTTACTTCTTAAGGAGGAGAAGGGGAAGAGGTATTTGGTTATCTTTCGGCTACACTAACCTGACCCCTGAACTTCACCAGCTAATGTCTTGACACCTAGGAATGCTTGCTTCTGCTGTCTGTCTGGGACTCTCAGTACCCCTTCATTCTTGCTAGGGAAAGTCATAGGTTTATGCCATATAGTTCAGTTTAACCCCCTTTGCTCTGCACCACCTCTGTACAAACAGGTATGAACCCCTTCTCTAGTATTCTAGTACTGATTACATGTTAAGCTGACGCTTTTTTTTAAAGCTAATTACAGACTTGGGGGTAGCTATGTATAACAGTGTTCATTTGATATATGAGCTTTCTGCAGTCTCTCTGGAGATTAATGCGCATTCCCCACTCGCATAGACACCTGATTGGTCACTGAGTTGCTAACAATAGGACCTTGTTAAGGTTTGTCATTCTTAATAACTGATTTTAAAAAATCAACTCTTCTTTTCATCTGTCCACTGTCAGTAACTGTTTGTTTAACCTAATACACTGCCACAGGGAGCCTACTGAAATGGATGACAGAATAGATACATCCTGGTGATCTCGCATACTTACCTCCATGTGCGTGTGGGGGACAATTTAGAGATGCCATTTATCCAGTCTGTGAGAGAAACCTGGAGAACCTGTAAAACCCCTACTGAGTAAGAACATGCATACTCCAAATAGAACATTTTTCAGGCCAGAATCAAACACAGGACTTGTGCTGTGAGGGAACAGGCCTAGCCAACATGTCATCACTAGGCGATTTGCAGTCGTGATTTATATTACTAGGTGATGGTATGTTTCAGTGAAAAGGCCCTAACAGGAAAGGCTGGAAAGACAGGACCTGTAAAGAGATTTTCGTATTTTTCATTTTTTTCTACAGTAAGAGAATAAAACTCAGTGAACACAGAGCATGAAGGAAGTAAAACGCAAGAAACAGAAGACCGCTGTAGGGAGGAAATGAATAAAAATGTTCTTGTCTCATTCTTACTCAGCAAGAGATGTCGCTCGTGTGCAGATTTAGGTGTTCCTGCTAATTTATGGAATGGTAAAACCCAGTAGATTTTCAAATTACTCAAATGAAACAACACTGCTTTTAAAGGACAGTGGAGACCCACTGATTGGGTATGCATAGTTTGAATTAGTTCCTCAAGAACTTATATACAGGCTACATATTCCATTATTATTTATGTTTATAGAGATGCCTCTACAATTGGGCAGGTACTAGAATATAAGCTGGCTGAACTGCATAAGTGCCACTAATAAAATAATATACAAATTAAAACATTATTTGGATGGTATACCTTGTTGACAACGAGTAGGAGCTATTAATTAATAACTAAGGAGTGTGGCATTTAGGGCTGTTGTCTCATAGTTCTTGAGTCCTGAGTTCAGTTCTGAACTGGGTTGCCTCTCTGTGGAGTTTGCCTGCTTCTGCTGTGTGTCTCGGACTCCCAGTGCCTCTTGTGTTTTCCTTGTGTTCACCTGGGAGGTGGTAAGGAAAGCGAGGATTCTGTGAGTGTTGCTAGAGAACAGACAGAAGAGGAGTGTGTTGAGAGCAGGAGAGGGAGGGGAAAAAAGTGACACAGAGGTTCTTGTCAGAAGAACAGAGGAGGATGGAGAGGTGGAGCCAAAAGGTAAAGAGCTAGAGAGCTCCACCAGAGGGAGTCGGGCTTCGAGTCTAAGATTATGGTGGTTCTTCCAGGAGGAGCCAGCTCTGAGAGAGGCAGAGAAATGGGAGCAAAATGAAGCTAATTGCAGAGTTGGGGTACTGTAGCTATGTCTAATAGTGCTTATTTTATATATGAACATCAGTAGGAGTAGGAGCAGTATGAAAAAGATACAAAACACAAAAGGGAGGATGAGTGGACCAAGAGAGCTGGTGCAGAGAGAAAACGGTAGAGGACCCAGGACAGGACCTTGAGGGACACATTTAGAATCGCTTAGAGCTTATAGTATTGGTTATCATACCTAATGCTTATGTACCTGCTGTCTTGTGAAACATTAACATTTAAAGAATATCAAGAGATTATTTTAGTCATTACAGAATCATGCAGTATGTAGCCTCGATGGAGATTATTTAAAAGATTATTGTATTAGACTGGAGAATGCACAGGTCACAGCACTACAGTATATATACTCAGTCCATGCTAAAAACAGTTCTTTCAACATTGTTTAACATATTAACATATTAAATCTCCCAGAATAGACAAGATTTCTCAGAATAAATTAATTGTGGTGTCAATGTCAGGGCCCGCGGGGGGCTGCGCCGTTTCTGAAACTTCAGCACTTTGAATTTCTCACGCGCAGGTTCTCCCGCTCCGACGAACTGTCCCGGCACCGGCGCTCCCACTCCGGGGTGAAGCCGTACCAGTGTCCCATGTGCGAGAAGAAGTTTGCCCGGAGTGACCACCTGTCCAAGCACACCAAGGTCCACCGCAGCCAGAGGGCCAGGCGCCTCCTCCCGGCGAACTGCTGACGAAGGGCACCGCCTCCGAAGGGTTTGTGGGAATCGCACAGACGCCCTCAGCAGGAGACGGCCCAGCACTTGATCATAGTTTAACTCAGCCTCCTGTTCTGTCTCATTTGGAGATATTCCAGGCGAACCCCCATTTTGTCTTGAGAGGGTGTGTATTTAAGGACAAGATTTCTTCATTTTTTAATAGTCTGCTCCTTCACGAACACTGATGGTACTGCATGGTGTTTTGAATCACTCATCTCAGTGAGTGAAACGGCTACGAATTCCAAACAAATCCAGAGGACATACACTGTTCATCCTAATATGAGGTTTCCAACTCTGTGCCAAGATCTTGGATCATATTCATCTGCCTTTCAGTTTATTTTGATGTAAATTAAGGAACTAGTGAGACCTGATGGACTTTTTCTCATTGTAGAGAAATTCACCTTCCTTGGGTCAAACAGTTTCCAGTTTGTGCCCTATTTAAATAGCTATAACAGAGCAAACAAAGCCACATCCTGTGAGCAGAATAAAGTTGCATTTTTGCCCCTGCACAGACAACAGGGCTGCAGATGAGAGCATAGTTTTTGTTGCTGGATCTGTACAGTAGAAGAACCATTTCTGATGCAAATGGTTGCAAAGACTCCCAAGATTGTCCTTAAGCACTTAACTCAAAATCCAAATGAAAGAAAAAGAAAATCTTGTCCCAAAATGGAAAAAACTAAACAAAGAATCTGCAATTTGCTTATTAGTTCCCAATTGATGCTTTACTTTAAATACATGCACGGTATTGCAATTGTATTCTCAACAGCAAAGAGATCTTCAACATTTATAGATTCTTCCTGTTTGTGCAGAAAGCTCTAAAGATCAGATACTTGGGTTTTCATGCTCTGTAAAACCATTAGGAATCTGAGTTTATAGAACAGTGTCTTTAGTGCTCATACAATAGTGTAACAGCACTGTTGGGGTCACCCAAAACAAAAGAATGGAAATCAACAGTCCAAATAGTGTATCATATAAGTTATGGACCAAATGGCAATTAATGTGACATGAATGTATGTACATTTACTGACCTTTTGGGTCTTTTGCTTTGGTAGTATAGAAGCAAAACTATTGGATCCTTTTCACTTTACACAGCATCAGCAAGCCCTGACCTGATTGGAAAATGTGCTCTTGGCACTGCAAGTGAGATCTTACCTTCGCAGCCTCGGACTGATGGCTCTTGGCACGCCTGGCTCCGCTTCAGTTTTCATGGACTAGGAATGGGAAAATGAGGAACAGCTCACGGACAGTAAAAACTCTGAAGGATGGACGGATCCAGCAACATCAACCAAATCAAAATGGAACACCAGGAATATCTGCTGACGTTGCAGCACCTAACAAGCCTTTCCGATCGCCGTTTCTCAGTGGGCGATTCATGTGGTCCCGGCCTGGACTTGATCCTCCTGGGAGCAGCCTTTTCGAAGGCTTTTTGCCTCAGGATGACCATTTATCTTGCTAAAGCCCAGTCACGGTCTTACCTAGGCCAAGTACAACCTCTGGTGTTTTGATTTTGATTTACGGAGAAAAACACTATTTTCCTAAGTATTTTCATGCTGACTAAAGAAAATAATAGAAATAAAGCGTTGAAACCTGAGCCTGTGGTGTTCTTTGGCTCCTGATTCATCTGTCTTGATAGTGGGAGACACCAAGAGCTGGGTGTCAGGATTTCTTGTGGTTTAATCCCGATAATTCCTAAGCAACCTATTTTCTTGTTTTTGGGAAGTTTTAAATATTCTTGCTAATGGATCACTTCTACGGCGCTGGTTTCAATTCTGTGTTTTGAGTTGCTGTCTTGCTCACCGGAGCTCTGCTTTGTTAATTTAGAAATCTGAAAATAATTGTCTTTGAAGAAGTGATGTGCCAGATTGCATCATGTATCCAGGTCTGATGCGCTCCTGTAGACAAAGGAAGTTAGAGATGCTTATCCTATGAAAGCACTGGTGGATCTGAGACCAGAGGTAGTAGAGTAATATTGTTCATTCAACACTTTTTTTTTTAAACCCATTGCTTTTTATTTAAGTCACGCTACGTAGTGAAAGTACACAAACGCATGTAATGTTTGTAAAACGTTATACATGTAAAAAGCTTGTATTCCTAATAGAAAGGTAATTGGGTTGTTGGCTGCAAAACTAGCATTTGTGATGACTTTCTGTTTGGCAGTGGTATTCAGAGTTTATGATTGTCAGGTGGAAGGCACAGTATCACAGTAGTTAGCATTGCTGACTCACTTGGGTTCCATTCCTGGAGTGCTATCTGCATGGAGTTTGAATGCTCTCCCTGTGCTTTCTCTGGGTGCTGTGGTTTCCTCCTAGAGTCCAAAGGCATGCTGGTTGGTTAATTGGCTTCTGGGAAAATTGGCCAGTGTGCGTGTCTGTGCTTCCTGCCTTGCACCCGCTGCTTGCTGGGATAGGTCCTCCCATGACCCTGAATTGGACAGAATGGGTAGGTGAATGATTGACAGGTCAGTCACAGTTTTGGTTTAATCCAAGTCTTGGTTTTGGATGCTTGGAAGAGCAGCACCTCAACCACTTTTCTCCTGCTGACTTCCTCTAGCAGAGAGAATAGGACTGACGCTAGCAAAAATCCCCCTGACAGCTGCTGTCTCTTCAGCTATAGTACCACTTATATACGACCCACATTTGAGTTTTTCTTTACCAGGGGCCTGACATCGGCTCCAGAGAAAAACTAGGCTGATATGATTATGATAAGCTGCTTTCAGTGAAATCTGATGGAGAGTTTCTGGCAAGAACACAGCCTGACTCTATTATTTTAGTGTGATCTTAATGATGATTAGCAAATGCCAGAGGTTTGCAGGCAGCACCGAATAAGCTCTTCTCATAGCAAGTTAGATGTTTGGTGTTTATCACCCCTAAAAAGATATTGTCAGCCATTTGGGCCATATATCATTCCCAGGACACTCTTGCTCAGTTTGCAGTTTTTTTCTCTTAATGGATTCCTCTGTGATCCTGGCTTTTTCCAGGAAGGGAGGGGTGGGCTGCATATGACATCAGGGTCATCAGATTACATCATGTAGCAAGCACACTCCTCACTTGCCTGGTGTTGTGGAGAATGCTGATGTTCAGCCTGCTGTGGTCAGAGAGACAGCCTAGCTCTCCTTTTAAACCACCTTGTTTTGAGTAAGCATCTGAGTGCTCTCTGGTACCTGCATAGTCATTTTTAAAACCCTCAAGGGACTTGTCCTTTGTACACATTTTCTGGTGCTCGGATTGTATTGAGACTTCAGTCCACCTGCCAGCACCTTGTCCCACTGACACCTAACCTGTCCATCAGAGAACACTGGTTTCTGGCATGGAAAACCAGTGCTGAGAATCTTGGTGTTGTTCTGGGATTGGTGGCTGCTGAGCAGCTTTGGGTTTCTTTTTTGGGTCATGAGCTAATGGAGCTTATGACCCAAAATATTTTTTAACTTGTTTTCCTTGATACGAGGAGCTGAATGACCAATATAACTGTAACTCCTTGTGTCAGTGCTGTCTGGAACCATAAATACTGTACATTCATTCAATTTTTAATGAAGCTTGATATACGTGAGGGTAGCACTTAATGCTGCAGCCTTATACCTCTTAGGTCCAGGGTAAGATTGTGGACACAGGAGCATTGTGTGGAGGGCGCATCTTCTCTTTGTGTCTGCTTGGGGTTTCTCTGGACAGAAAGGATTTCTGCCACTGTCCAAAACCAGGTTACTTTACAGGTAAATACTGCCTGAATCTGTGTGTGTGCCCACATTGATTAATTCAGTTTACCACATGGAAGTCACAGTACTGTATCAAGTTGAACGCTGTTCAAAAATGATTTTTATCATGCACAAAACTAATTCATCAGGTTATCCTTCCTCAAGTGTTAATCTTTAGAAGGAAACTAGAATTCATTGTTTTGGAGAACATTGCTTCATTGGACATTACCCAAAGATCTACACAGTAGTTTATGATATGATAAATCCATTTATGAGAAGACCATTGCAACGATCCTTTCTGGGAGAGCTGCAAACTCTGAATGAAATAAAAACATAAAACATACTAAAAAGTAAACAAGACCTTTGACTCATAAAGCTTTATGATCTAACTACCAGTTGCAGAGATTCAATAACCAAGACATAAAATGGGAGAACTTGCCCTAGTGTGCCTATGTGTCTGCCCTGCAATGGACTGGTGTTCTTTCCAGGATGTACCCTGCCTTGCGTCCTTTGCTTGGTGGTATAGCCCCTGACTCCCACATGACCCTGAATGGAAAAAGCAGCTAGAAAATGGATAGATAAGATGAGAAATTCTTCAAAATCTCTAATAGTATACTGCTCTATGCTAATCAGTAATTGCATGCTAATCACTAGATTGCTGACCACCAATCTGAAATCTGATGTAGTTCAGTAGTTAAACCAAGTATTAATTTATTCATGTACACCTCAATATACTGTAGATGTGTTTATTAAAAAGTCATTTTTTTCTCATGTTAGCTTGAAACAAAGCTCGAACACACTTCACCCTTTTTTCACCGTTCTAATGAGCTGTTGTGCATGACTTCAACGCAGTGATGGTTTCGCAGTTGACAGTACGGGACACAATTTTTCGCTTAGCTTAGGTATTGAATGTCAACTTTTAATGTGCTGTGGGTCGGAAAATATTGTGGATATCTTGGAATATGACCAGAAATTTGACTTCTAGTCTAGTGGATGTCTGGTTTGATCATGTTTAGGTGCTTCATGTAACCAGAGCCAGGGGCCTGATGGTGACTCCATTTCCCAGATATTTTTTTTCCTTCTAAACTCTGGAAACCTGCCATCCGGCTCTGGAGGCAGACATTCCCAGCAGAGAAGGGAGGCAGAGTCTTCTGATTTGGTTCATCTGAGGACGTGGCTAATCCTTTAGATTCGTTTTTCATTGGAGACATAGTGATTTAAAAAACAAACTGTAAAACCTGCAAGAATCTCATTTTACAGAAAGATCCAAAGGCGGTTATCTCCACACACCCAAGATACAGCAAGTCCAGGAAAAGGCAAGGCTCTGCTAAAGTTGTTTGGAGGAAAATCTGTCCCCCGTCATACAGAGAGGCTACCAAACTGGTCATACAGTAATTCTACCCGGCCTGACTCCGCTATTAATAACAGCTCCTTTCAGGACACCCCCGATAAGGTGTCAAGGATTCATGAGTAAACAGGCAAAAATATTTGAGGCCACAGAGCATTCCACACGTCCGCCGTAAAGGAAGCAAAAATCATAAGGGGGGTTTTATTGAAAGGTTGAGCCACAGATATAAACTGTAAGCAAGTGCCTGTAAAGGCTTTGTATAGTTGGAAATATTGGTTAATAGGTGGGTTAGGGGATAATTTTGCCTGCCTGATTGGATATTTTGCATGTAGGCTGAGTTTAAAGTTACAAAGGGGAGGAATTAGCTAATGTTAATGACTTTCAGCTCTGTATTTTGCGAATTTGCAGATGTAAGCACGGTATCCTTGATGAAATTTTAAATTGGATGAAATATTTAGGGAAATAGATAATGAATTACCAATAAAACATTCAAGATGTCAACAAGACGTTCTCCATTGTGTGCTGAGATGGTTTATATACAAGTACAAGCTTTGGAAAAACAAATGTCTTTTTACTCACCCATGGAGAGGGATAACCTAATTTTAAGAATACGAAGCCGTTAGAATTAATCGTGCGCCAAATACGCAATTTACATTTCTCAATGTAAAACAGAATAAAGCTAAAGAAAATAAAGATATAAATATATATTTTCTGTTCAAGTGGAAGTATAAAATGAGAATTATCACAAAAACTGAGTCAATACTAGATAGGATGTTTTTTATTTACAAATTCCAACGGATTTCCTACAGCTGTATTGTTGAATTTAAATTCAAGGTAGCGTTCTCCTCTGACAGGACGTCTACAGACTTGTTCTGCCTTTAACATTGCGTTATGGATAGTGCTTTTAAAACATCTAGACTTCAGTTCGGCATTTAAATTGAGCGTCGTTTCCTAAACTGAGTTCTTCAGAAGGAGCAACTTTTACTTAAATATTGTCGAACACCAAACACCAAAGAAGTTAGATAAACAGCGCCATCTAGAGAAAGATCTAATCTTTTTTCTTCAAAGTATTCAGTACTGTACCTTAAAATGGCAACCTGTAGCTGGCTGTGGTGTCTACATTCGCACACACAAAGCCACAATGTCATTGTAGCTTAATCGGTAACACTTCTCTTGATTCATTAAGAACGGGATAAATACTCTTTAAGAGGCATGGGGCGGGTGGAAATGTACTGTAGATGCACAGCGTTCAAGTCAACAAGTCAGAACTGTTGTTTGATTGAATGACATTGCTTGACAGCTCGTGAATTATATCTAAATCCGATTTTAATTATATCAAAACAACATGGAAGGGGTCAAACATCAAAACAACACAGTACAAAACGAGTTAATGCGTAAAACATATCAGTGAGTAAATATTAATACGCCCACATTTAGGACCCGGAGGAAAAATGGCGCTGTCGGCATCTTTCGAGGCGGAAATGAAACCTTTGGAAAATTAAGTGAACAAAAATATAAACCAGGAAGATTGTAATATTGAAGTGCAGAGGAAGAGGAGGGAAAGGTAAAAAGAAAACCGATCACCGGATTCATTGTGGTTTATAAAACATCCAAACAAATGCTTTGTGCCAGACACCAGGAAGTGTCTACGATTTTTTACTTTGACGGTGGTCTAACGCGATGATTGTTCCTAAATGCATATTTTTCATGCGGCGGTCCTCCCACGCACGCGTGCTGTGGAGACCAACTCTGCGCTGTGCTGTTTAGTGGTTGTTGGATTTTTTTTTTTCAATTCAGTGATCTTCAATCTGAAATGGCGGTAACCTGTCAGTGGTTGTGTCTCTTGACATTAACGCCCGCAACTTCGCAGACTAAGAGCCATGTGTAAGCGGCGGCCGTCTGGGTAGTTGCGGCGATGTAGCGGAATCAATACAGTTTAATAACCTAGAAGCGTGCATGAACGAATTGCAGAGAAAAAAGGAAGTGATCTCAGACTGGCTTTAATTTCCTGTTCTTAAAGACAGATCTACCTTTTTTTTTTTACTTTGGATTTTATTTGACGCGCGTTGCAGAGGCTCAGCTTTCTTATTTCGTGTGCGTCTTTGGAACTCGGCTGCTTCATTTTTTGCACTTCTCTTGCGATTTGCGATGTGTCCGGCTTGAGCAAGGATCTGTTATAGGCGAGTCTCTCCCCCTCTCCCGCCGTCTGGTAATGTTGTTTTTATTACGTTTGCAAGAAGGAAGGGGAAAAAAACGTAGGACCGTGGAAGCAAACAACTATACAAGTCGTGCGCTGCAAACTTGCAGGCACTCACAGAAAACATCGTCAACAAAAACAACTTAAAAGTGTCATTTCTAGCGGGTGTGGTTCCAGTTTTAAGGCGCTTTTGAGAAAGTCTTTATGGTGCTCCTGCCACGGCAGGCTGGTACAGGGGCAGAGGTTGCCCCTTATCTGTTTAGAAGTTCAGCAGAGCCAGAAGTGTAATTAAAAGTAGGACCTTGTCCACTTTCAAGTACGTCTGGTATCAAAAAAGGGGTCACATGGTCGCAGGAGGTCTTTTGTGTTTGTTTTTGAACTGTTAGTTTTACTAAATATTTGTCTTAATGCTTGAACAAATAATAAAGCAAAACTGTGCTCTAACATTGCATGAATATTAATTCGTATATATATTTGGTGCAACTCTTAGCACCACCACGAATAATAATAATAGGGATTTGACAACTGTCAAACATTTTGAAATAAATATTGTTTTTGTCTTACTTACTAATTAGCAGCCTTAACATAGTTGTGTGTTTTGCCTGATGGTTTCTTGTGTTTCCTCTGAAATCCAGTATTTTGATTTGTGCTTTATTTATCCAGCCAGTGCCGCGATTTTCCCACTGGTGTCAGCGTGGCTTCATGTCAGATAAATGTGTGGATTTTTACTCAAACGGCATCCCAGCTGGCCGTAGGGTGAGTCAGGGCAGATTTGTCTTAATAATTTAAGATGCTTACAGACAACACAGAGTGAGAGAGAGAAAAAGAAAAAAATGGCCTTAGAGCAGTCAAAAAGTACACGTACGGGTCGTGGAAATTGTGATGGCTATTTCTACTTGTTTTCGAAAATATTAAGGAGCATCCATGTGAATCAGATGCAAAAAGTGTTCGTGTAAATTGTTGCAGCCTTCTTTTTCTACGTGTACAGTTGTTTTCTGTCGATTACGTAACTTTTTTTAATCGTTTTCTGTACCTCTGGCATTCACAGACTCCGGCTACTCTTAATGAAGAGATGCTCTCCTTGTTTCGCGAGGTCTGTCCGTAGCATCGCTTTCGGATTAAAGTCCTGCTGTTGAGAAGGTAAGTCAAGACTCGCTTTTATTCCGTGTTGTGTGGAAGAATGACCGAAAAAGAACAATAAAGATAAAGACCAGACCTTCTACAATTCTGCCTGTTGTTGTCATCTTCGAGTGTGAAGTAATTTCTGTATATATTTAACAGCTTTTTAGCTTCTGCCCATAAATGCTTAAGCAAAAACGAGTTCTAGGCTATTCTCTAAATTTTGTAGGAGATTCAAAACTTATTTTAAAGACTTCGTGAAAATAAAAAAAAACAGGTTCTGTTTTGGGTTTCATCACTCCAGTGAGTGGTGTCTAGAAAGCCTATGGTTTATCAGAATTCTGATTTGCAAAGCTTAAAATGCATGTCTTAAGGCATCTTCTTCCAATGTCTGATCTTGGAAAGGGCCATACTGTACCTTAAGTGTCCTCAGTATTCTCAGTATTAAAAGATATTTATTGCTGTTTTGTCACGCATTTATTCTGGAATCTACCATTTTATCCTTTATAAGTTTGGAATTTTATTTTGATAGTAAGATTTCAGCAGGATGAGGTTTATTGGACTTCCACTTCTGCAGAGAGTTTGAATGTACAGCACACCTGTTGGGTTTTTAAGATAGTGAAGAAACAGCTTTGAACTGACATGCCTTCAGACATCTCAAGGTGTCATCCCATTGTCTTATTTACCTTCCTGCTGAATTGGGGGAGATTCACATCTCTCCTGCTTGTGCATAATTATAATATAAAAAGCTTTGCCTTGGATACAAAGCTGATGTGGTCTGGAGTGATTGTTTAAATTGAACATGATATCTAAGCATTAGTGTACCCTGATGTCTGTTTCATGGAATTCTGTATCTGCTATTATTTCATACTGGTGCAGACATTTTTCCAAAGACAGCTGAGTGAAGTGCAGTGCAGTTTTTAACAATGCTGAGTGACTGCATGCTTTGCTTTAAATTGGTGAGGTTGTGTTTTGCTTTTGGCATCTTGATGATCCCAAGGTGTTTCTTAAAAGATGCTGCATCCCAGGCTCACACAGTTCATGGTGTAAGGACATGATGGCTATTTTCTGTTCTGGGCGATCCACATCTTAATTTCCACTTGTTACCCCACTTGTATTGTTGCCAATATGGGGAAAATCTTTTTGGGATTCTGTACAGTGGAATCAAGTCCCCATGTTGTTTTCTCTGTTCCAAGCTGAAACAGATGAAGTTCCCTTAACAGTTCCAAATATGACATTCCCATTAGCCTAGGGCATAGTCATGCTGCCCTCATTTCTACTTCCACAAGAGCAAGTACAAATGAGACTCTCTGATTGTACTGATGGTTGAAAGTTTTGAATTGGTGCGGATGAAACCAAAAACCAGAGATAAAGAAGGAGCTTTGGACCTTAAAATTTATACCCAACTCCCACCTCTCCTCTTTCTCTCCGTCCACACCCATATCTCCATTCTGAGCTGGTGTGATGTTGTCTGTGATGTCAGAAAACTGAACAAGCTGGACATTGAGACCTTATGTTAGTGTTCCACAGCAGCTGATCAAAGCACGACAAACCTGTGGCTGTTATAGTCTATTGATACTGAAGGGTATAATGTCTTTGTTTTGCAATTAGACTCATCTAATTGAAGGCTGGGGATCAAATGACTACTGAATAAGATCAAAGTCTGAAAGCAAGTTTCAAGAGAGCAAACATCTTGCTGCCTTCTGCCCTCTGCTACAGAAACTTGTCTGCTTGACATGTTTTTCTAACATGTTCTCTAACAATGATTCACTGTACCCTAAAATTACTTTAGGGTTATTTTGTTTTAATGTAACCCGATCATTTTATTTTGTGGGTTCTCACACCTTTGTTCATCGACTCAGACATTTTTATTAGTGAAGGCTGTGCTTTTTTCCCCCAATCCATTGGAATTGATGCCTGGCTGTGGGTCAGAGTGATTGAAATGCACACTTTCTGTCCCGTGTGATCTACTACCAGGAGAAACATGGACATTCCCGGCCTCTGCTGGGAGTGGAGAGGCGAGGGGGTGTGGCAAAGTTCCAGAGGGATCTGAAAGTCTCTGAATTGATTGGTCCATGATCAATGATTGGGCCTTTTCCTCAATTTCAGCACTTACAGATTTAATGATCTTCCATTTCTGTGGAGAGACCTAGTGCATACCTACCATATTGGCTTTTTTAAGATATTGAGCAAATGGTTTTTAATTGACATACCAGGTGCTGGTGTCTCATGACTGACAGACGTGTTAACCAGAATGGACTTGAATAGTGTTCTAAGGTAACTACAACAGAACAGGGCTCCAAGCCACAGCTGGAGCAAGCCTGCACTTCATAAACACGCTGATAGGTGGTATTTACAGTGAACACGTGTTTCAGCTGGAATTCAGTACCATTTACCGGAGTTGTATGCTACAAGTCTGAAGACAAGCGTTCATGTTGTAACTTGTCAGGAGTTTAAAAAAAGATTTCCATCTTTCTTGCAAAAGCTTGTGTGGTAAAGCACAGCGAACAGCGGGTATTTTGTTTTTTAACCTTTGGCCCGATGTGATATGGCAGGGGGTGTTATGAGAAGGCCATAGTACTGTATGTCGGCCTGAACAACTTCAGATTTTGCAAGCTGCAAGCTCTTGTGCAAAGTGAAAAATAGGAAGGAGGGTGAGGCTATGCTGATTGAAAATAAGTTACATTTGACTGATCCATTGCCCAGTGTTGGCTTCTACAGACATTTGCAACTGATCAGACTGCTGAGAGTGGGAGCCTGATCTTTTTTTTTTCCACTGGTAACTAACTTGTTGCAACACCGCAGCCTTGAGAGCGCAGGTGTTTTGGCCTCTGGCTGTTGATTCTGCACGCCGACGTTATACTAAGCTCTAGCCTAAAAGTTTCAGAGAGAACATGCTACATGCACAGGGCTATTTTTTAACTTGGAAGCTTACAGCCTTTAGTAATGTAACTGTAATGTATTGTTCAGTATATTTAGGGAAGAGAAAACTCTTGCAGCCCTGTCTCTGTTTCAGCCTCTGCAGTCTGTGGGCAATAATGTTTTTTTTTTTTTAGCGCATTCAGGCACGTCTACCTCCATCTCTCTCTCGATAACAGATGCTATTTATACCTGGCCACACACTGCGCTACAGTGAGACGTGGTGGCTGGGGGCATTTCCTGTTCACAGACACCCTGGTCAGTTCCAGTGTAAAAAAATAAATCTTTGTATTGTGTAATTTTTTTCAGCAGCTTTTGAAGGTCAACTGTTTTGACAAGTCAGGGGGTGGCTAGTCCTGTTACTTCAGAGCCACACTCTAGCAGCTTTAAGGAGTCAGTTTCTGAAGACCGTGTGCTACTTAAGCAGAACGTTTGTTAAGCCAAGTGACTTTATGGACGTTTGGAAAGAAACCCTGAATTCCTCGCTCTCTTCCCAGTCTTTAGAGCTGAGCTGTCTTGGCTTAACCGAACAAACAGGTTACTAAATTAATCAAGAGCATATATCTTTTATAGGTCTTCATAAATTTACGATGAAGGGTGACTCGTAAAACCTGTTGGATTTGGTCTCTGAAGGACCAAATTGGCCGTGCCTGTTGTAAGTCATGCTGCTGTTCATTTACTGAAACGATAAAGGCTGAGTAAGTTCCTGGTGTCTGTGATTTATTCTTTCTTTTCCCCCTGACTTGAATACTGAGTTCATTCTTTATCCTTGTGGTCTCTCTTTGTTTGTAATTGGTTAATGAAACTGACGTATACATTCTAGGCAATGAGCAAACTGTTAACAAAATACGTTTTTGTGCTCACTGAGGTCTCGGTCACTTAATTTCCGTGTTAGATCTTTGAAATTGCTTTCATCTGCAAAGCGGCTGGGCGATTTGAGATGCGACTTGCAATCTGCCACCCCCCCCTGTCCCTCTGCAGCGATGGACAGCGCGGTGACCCTGTGGCAGTTCCTGCTGCAGCTGCTCCTGGACCCCAGCAACGAGCACCTGATCTGCTGGACCTCCAGGGACGGGGAGTTTAAGCTGCTGCAGGCCGAGGAGGTGGCCCGGCTGTGGGGCGTCCGCAAGAACAAGCCCAGCATGAACTACGACAAGCTGAGCCGCGCGCTGCGCTACTACTACGACAAGGTGCAGTGGAGCCCCATTCCTTGCGCCGCCACTGCATGGAAAGAAGCACCACCAAGACTGTAGATGAATCCCGTTTCTCTGCTCTGTCTCTCCTACCCGTCCTGTGTCTGTGGCGCTCTTTTTGTGTTTCCTGCTTTGTCGGAGGTGCCCGATCGCTGTAAAATTGAGTGACTTGTTTTTTTTGCCTTTTTTTTTCTCTTTTCCGGGAAGAAGGATTTCTGGATTGAAATGGGTGTTTTTCTTTTGTTTTTGGTTGCAGAACATTATTAAGAAGGTGAACGGGCAGAAGTTTGTGTACCGCTTTGTGTCCTACCCAGACATTCTGAGTGGGGATGTCAGTTCGACGGGCAGGGCAGAGGGCGCAGTCGAGGGGGGCAGTGCAGGCTCCCTGCCGCCCTTAGAGAAGAGTGCTGTCCCCAGAGACAAGGAGAACCGGGCCGCAGGGGAGAAGACCCAAAGCTCTAACAAGCCATCCAGCCGCAACGACTACATCCACTCCGGCCTCTACACTTCGTTCACGTTGACTTCCCTGCAGGCTGGCACCCAGCTCTTCAAGTCCATCAGGGTGGAGGACCCGGGGGAGAAACTGGCCGAGAAGAAGGAGAAGGCCAGCCAGGAGCAGCCGCAGTCTGTCATCAAGTTTGGGACCACGCCTTCTTGGAAGACTCCAGCAGGGTCCCTGGATGCCAATCAACAGGCCACTCCCCCTGGCAAGCCACACCCACTGCAGGCCCTGACCTCTAAAAACAGTGAGGTTATTAGGGAGGCCCCGCCTCTCCCTCCTCCCCTTCACTCTAGTCCACCTCCTTCTCATGAGGAGGCCCCACCCACAGTGGCGCACGCCCCCACTGCCTTTGCAGACACGCCCCCAGTCTCTGCCTTCTCTCCCTCTCTCCCCTCCCGTTCCCCCTCCCCTGCCAATGCTCCTGACTCCATCCAGGACCTGGTGATTGACAGTGACATCGAGTCCATCTCCTCACAGCCCTCTGAAGTGCCACTGCAGGTAACTGCTTCTGTGCTCTTGGCATTTGTCACTTGCAGTCTTCTCAGTGTTGTTGCCTCTGGACCAACAGGTGGATAGAGCTAGTGGCTGCACAAGTGTTGAAGTACTCAGTTATCAGCAGCCGGAATGGTTCTGTGGCAGTTTCACATTGTGTATATGTTTCCATAATGATCCACAAAACGCTATCCCCTTTTATTTTGAGCACATGTCTGATCAGTAAATGTAAATGGGGGTATAAGATCAAACATCATCCACAGAGCTGTTCCTAGATGTGAAATATGCATGCTTTTTGAATTGTGCTTTGAGGATGTTCTTTCACTCCAGTGGTTTCTAAATCTGTCACGAGTCTGTGCTGCATGCCAATAGCACGGGATTGAGTCCCCTGATACTAGTGTGGGATTCATTCATTTACAGTATCCAGCTGCAGACAGCATCTTTGCCTGGGGCTGTGTAGGGCAGATCTCATGTGCTATGGTTGTTTCCATGGGTTGCTGGCCTGGTTTGATGTTGTTTCAGGTGTTGTTGACATTTCAGTCTGCTGCCATCCGATCTGTGCACATTTGTCACCTTAATAGTAACGCCTGTATGTCTGCCATGTTTGAGAAGCGTGCTTTTGCGTCCAGCAGCGACATCGGTCTCTATGGCTTTGCGCCAGCTTCGGTGACCGCTCAGTTTATGGCAGGACTCGCGTCGGAGGACTCGCTCCTCTACAGCGGTCAGCTCCTCCGGGATTCATCCTGCTCTTCTCCGTGTCGCTGTCCTTCAGGTGCAGCCAGCTCCTTCGTCCCAGGAGGCCAGCGGCCCGGAGTGGGAGGCGGAAAGGTCCCCGGGTCTCAGCAGCAGCGGGGGCAGCAGTCACAGCGGCAAGGCCAAGAAACCCAAGGGCCTGGAGCTGACGCCCATTCTCGTGGTGACCAGCAGCGACTTCAGTCCTGCGAGCCTGGCCAGCCCCTCGCTGCCCACCGCCTCCCTCACCCCCGCCTTCCTGCAGGTCAGCGCGGCCCCGCCAGCCCACGCAGAGCCAGAACACACAAGCATCCATTCCTGTGGCACCTTTACTCTCTCCCTGTTCTACTCAGGTCTTTCCCTTCCCATCAGCACACGCTGGTCTTTGTGTAAACGGGTCTGTCCACAGAGTCTGGTTGCTATCGGCCTTGCAGTTTCTAAGTCTCATCCGTTCTCTGATGCTAACTGTACCTGAGGAAAAAAGCGACTGACTGTAGGTTTTGAATTAGAGCTTGGGAACTAGTTTCCAGACATTCTAGAGATGTGTTTTGTACACTAGGTGGCAGCACTGGCCCACGTGGCCCACAGAATGTGTTGAAAAGTGCTGCAGAGTACTTCCTTCCATTCCCCATGTTTTTTGTTCTAAGATCCCTGGAGGCCATTGTCAGGGACATCACTTGGTGCTGCTTTGATGTCAAGAGTCTGTCATATGGTTGTCTTGGCTTGAGGTCAAGACGACATTCATTTAGAAACATTGGAAACCTAATCTTTTTTTGAGCAGAAGCAGACAGCATCTCGTGATGAGGCTGGCTGAATAGCTCACTGCCTCCGTTCATCTGACATGTTTTACCCCCCTGCCTGATCTGCATATCCATCTCTTTCAACTCATGTTAAACTTATATAAACAGTTACTTTGTCTTCTGATCACCAATGACAACTGACCTAGACAACCTTAACAGGGGTAAGGAATAATGGCACCTTACTCAAAGTGCAGTTCTCAGTATACTGTATATGCTTACACTTACACACGCTTTTCTGGACACCCCGCTCAGAGCTCTTTATGAGGGTATTGGGGACTCTCCTCCACCACCACCAGTGTGTAGCCCCGCCTGGATGATGCAACAGCTATCAGTGGGGTGGAGAACAGAGTGATAAAGCCAGTTCATAAACTTATAAGGAGGCCAGGGGGAACTTTTGCCAGGACACTGGGATAACACCCCTAATCTTTTCAGTGCCCTGGGATTGTTAATGAATAGTGGAGAGTCAGGACCTCGGTTATACATTTCCATGTGAAGGACAGTGCCTTTTTACAGTATAGCGTCCCCAACACTATACTGGGGCATTAGGACCCCCACAGACTGCAGGATGAGCACTCCCTTTTCCAGCAGCAACCTTAGCTTTCCCAGGAGGTCTCCCATCCAGGGAGACAGTGCAGTAAGCTTTCACTTAACAGACAAGTACAAGTAATAATATTATTATTATTATTATTATTATTATTATTATTAATAAAATTGCTTACACTTATATAGCGCTTTTCTGGAGACTCCACTCAAAGCGCTTTACAGGTAATGGGGACTCCCCTCCACCACCACCAATGTGCAGCATCCACCTGGATGATGCGACGGCAGCCATAGTGCGCCAGAACGCTCACCACACATCAGCCATCAGTGGGGGGGAGAGCAGAGTAATGAAGCCAATTCATAGGTGGTGGTATATTGTGTGGGTAAAATGTGAATTGAAAGTAAGGACTGTCCAAGAGAAATGGTGGTTACTTATCCCGTATAGCCACCTTCGCACACAAAGGCCTCCCATCTCCCCTCAACTCTGTGCATGAGCTTCAGTCCTATTAGGAGTTCAAAAAATGGCTCTGTATTAGGATTTGATCAGGCTCATGGAAAATTAGAAAGTGACTTTCTTATTGTCCCATGAGTGTGGCCCCATTTCAGTTGTTTTCCTTACTGGACAGGTTGCGTTTTGACAGATGTCACCTCCTCAAGCCCAGCTTGGCTCGAAAGTTCGACACCGCACCATCTGAGAATTCATGATGTTTGGTTTCGTTGGTCTCGGTTGTGTTGTCCGCTGAGCCAAAAACCAGGGTTGTTTTCATGATTAGCTTGGGGCTCTGCTAGTGCCCTGGGGGCTGTTGATTAATCCAGACCTGCAGTAGTCATGTGTAAAGGTATCGACTACATGACCTGATTGGCTATAACAAGTCTCGAGCCGTTTGCGAAAAGTGGTCAGAAATGCAGTTTGGGTGTGAATGGCTCTTGGGAGACCCTTTCTGATTTTGGTGCTAAAGCTCTGTTTGCTTACCCCCGCTACCTCCGCAGACCCCCACCCTGTTACTGACTCCCAGCCCTCTGCTCTCGAACATCCACTTCTGGAGCACGCTCAGCCCGGTGGCGCCACTCAGCCCCGCCAGGAGACAGGGGGCGCACACCCTGTTCCAGGTGAGACTGGGCCAGACTCCGTTTGCTGTCAAAAATACAACTGCAGTGTTCATTTACTACACAATGAGGAGGACCACAGTGAGGCATGCATTAGTTACCATTTGGTTTTAGAAACTGGAAATGGTCTTAAAAGTGCAAACAGACCACACTGGGAGCACAATGTTGTAGACCAGCTTTGTGGCAAATGATCACAAAGGGCTAACACTTCCTCACATCAAGTTATTAAACTGCAAGTCTAAAGATACATATCAGAAAGTAATTTTCTTCAGTATTTATCGGGATACCTTGGTATCCAGTAATATACTGAACTTCAGGAAAACTTGTTTTGCATTACTCACTGCAAGAATTCACAGTAATACAGTAACATTTGCAGCAAATCACAAGTTTTGTATCAGGTGCTCCGTCATTGTATTAAACAGACATAAGCAAGGTCAATTCAGTAGGCTGATTAACAGTTGGTAGCAATACACTTTGTACATCTGATGATCTTCTCTCCTTGTGATCGTGTGCTCTGGGGTGGTGTTTTCGCTGACGTGGTCTTGTTGTTTTCAATGCTGTTTCAGTTCCCCTCTGTACTCAACACACACATGCAGCTGCCTGTGTCCAACATGGACGGCTCTGGGACGCCAGGACCTCTGTCCCCTGATCCTCAGAAGACGTAGAGGAGAAATCTAGACCCTCAGGTGGACTCGGATGCGAACCTGTGGCCATTTTTATTGTATTGCTGACAATCATCTGCCTGCTGGCCAAACCTGGCCTTCACACAAGGGGGTTAGGGGGCAGGGGAGGGGGAGGGGATGGGTCACAGGCACTGGCTTCAGTGATGCTTTCCTTTTGGCTGCAGCTGTCTGGGAAAGAGGAAGAATTTGTTTCTTGCAGATGATGGACATCAGGGGTAGAGTTTGACAGCAACACTCGTGGAGCCCAGAGCCTTCATGGGCGGCGGTGTTACATTTTTGGTGCTTAAGTGAAGGTGAGAAAGGCAGAAGACTGTCTGAACTGACAGTAGGAGTCTTCAACCTCTTTCTACCCCAGAGGGCAACCGGTTGGTCGGTCTTTGGAAACAACTTTTTTTTGTTCTGAATTGCTTTCTTGGTAAAATCTGTAGGACCCTTACAGAGCTGTGTGACTCGGCCTTAGCAGAAGGCACAGCTGTCGTGAGGAGCTGAGTTTGTTGCCCTTGGAGGCAGGTTGGAGATTTGCAATGAAACCCCGCTGCCATTGAGAAGACCCCTCGTCCGTTTGAAAGGAACAGGCGCTGAGAACATCGGTGTCGGGTGTTCAAGAGAAAACTGTCCAGGAACCGGAAATTCTGGGTTTTTATTTTTCCTTTAGTACAGTTTTCCAGACAGAAAATGTGCCATTGTTCTGGTTGTTTCAGTTAATGTTTTTTTGTCTCCCATTTTCATCTTGGAGTTATGCGGAGGAATCTGATGTCTTTCTTTCTGTGTGCAAGGATGTCGGTTCACCACTTTCCTTAACTTTCCTTCCAAGATCCCAAGGGAAGTTCAGGTCAAGGTGTGCGTACTTATTTTTTGGCTTTGAAGTCCTGGTTTTCAGAGAACTCAGTTCAGGAGCTCAATGGCTAGAAGAGGAGTTCTGTATTGCCATAAGGCGAAAATGCTTACACTATTCCCAAGAAAAACATATTTCTTGACTCGTTTTTGCTTGGCTTGCTTTCTAAAAGGAAATTATTTTTTTGGACTCTTTGAAATCAAGTGCTTTATTTTAAAGTAGAACTACGGCGTACATGCTTAGGTGTTAAAAGAATCATTTTAATAGAAAATGATAAACATCTCGTGTAGTCAGAACTGCAATACAGCTAGTTGTTTGTAACAGCTATACTGATGTTTTATTATCACTCCAGCCTCACGGATGACGCAGTGTTAACTCTGACGTTGGCATAATTTGTGATGTCACTAGTGCTGAGCCCAGCATTGCTAATGGTGGTGCAAGGAGCCCTGTTTTTAAACCCTTGCTTTTAAGTAAATGGCTTTCTTGTTAGTCCTATATGAGCAATAATCATTGTGAGCCTTAAATGATCCTAATTCCTCTCTGCTCACCACAGCTCTTATTGAGGGTGTAACTGTTGGCTGATTAAGACGAATGGATCTCCAGTTACCTGTAAAGTGCAATGGCTCAACGACATCAACCAGATTGAGAACACTGGTTTAAAATTCACTAGAGGCATCCTGTCAGAATTACAGCCTTTCCTCTTTATTTCCCCGCAGTTTAGAGCTGTTCCCCTGTAGAACCTCACAGTTAATTATGCTAAGATTACCCAATACTGATGGGTAGAAATGTAATTTAGAAATATGAACCTGCTCCTGGGCCTTGCTTTTTCCTAAAAGAGCTGAAGTTCTTCACAGACCATGGGCTCTCTATACATGTGCACTGTTTATCATGATGTAGGATGCAGTTTGGTTTTACGATGAAGGGCGGGTGTCATAGCCTGTGAAATGACAGGTGCATGATTACGTTTATAAATCATTTCCAGAATGCTGGGTTTCGGTAGATAAATTGTATTAAATTATTTGAAGATCCTGACATGTAAGAAATGCTAGTTAATTTTATTTTGACACTTGTGACTGGAACCCTTCATGCAATAGTCTGCAGAGAGGCAAATATTTATCTCATTCCAAAGCTGTTTGTTGTCAGGTCCTTCCTGGCAAAGGTCAAGCTTTCCAAAAGTAAAACAATAGAAGCGTGCTGTATCTATTGAGCCAGTTTGGTGGCGTGTGGCTATTGTCTCAACATGTTGCCCTTAAAATCATGAGTATTTATGAGCCTATGTTTCTGCAGAGCAGTGCTTTCTGGCTTGCATTGGGAATTCAAGACTGGGCCTGCAGTGACAGAGACGGAGAAGATGCACTGTTTTTTGGAGAAGAAGCTATCTTCTCTGTTATAAAAAAAAAAAAAACAGGAGGTGTTGTGCCGTTAATTCCACAGATTCTTTCCAAAATCTAAACACATTAAAGATGTGTTGTAAAAATCACCCAATGAGTTTCCTGTGATGTGCACGGAGATAGTGAGAGCTGAGTGTTAGCAACAGGAATGACTGCCCGTGCAGTTTCAGGGGTACCTGTCAGAGTTCAAGGTGATAATTGACTGCTAGCAACCGGTTATGTGTAAAGATAGGCAGAAGCCACAGAAGCACCATACAGCGGTATTGCACATTGTACAGGTGTTAGAGAAATGCCTGTAGAAAAATAGCCCTCCGAGTTAGGTTTTTCATAAAAACCAAACCTCAGTCTGCTCATATTGGAGTGCCCTAATGCGAAAGTATTATTGCCTGTGGCTTCTGTGCCACCTAGTTTAAAGGCCTCCAAACCCCTCGCTGTAAGGTGTTCAAAGAGGTGTCATCTACTTTTTTTTCCTCTTTCTAAAATCTGCATTGCTTTGTGGAATTTCGTGTTTACTGTAATGAAAAAAAAAGTATTTTTCTGGACCTTGCTCTTGTAATTGACCTCCAAAATGTCAGAACACGGACTGGACTACAGGGGAAATTGGGCTTGACTTCTATCACTGCCGTTGGGGACGAACTGGCTTCCCACATCAACAGATTTTTCTGGTGTTTTAGAACCTAGTGTTAAGTAAAAGTGTCGTACTGAGACCTCACCACCCCTGGAACTCCCTGGAAAGAGTGGAGACCAGCTCTGTAGCAGTCCCTGGTTCCAGATGTGTGTTGCATCTTGGTGGGTGATATGTTAATTTGGGATGAAGCCATTGAACATGACCGTTTATAACTTTCATACCTTGATGTTTCTGCTGTGGGCTGACCCTTTTTTTTTGCACATGGTGTGATTTGCCAAGTTTGTTCCACAGCCTGATGCCTTGACCATCAAGGTCAACTTTTTAAAGAACAAATCCTCCACGATCCATGAACACGACTCAGGTGGATTGCCTATGTTTCATTTATTCATTTTTGCTCTTGTGCAAAACGTGCTGCACTCTCAATACCTGAATGAAAAATGCTAATGTGACCAAAAAAAAATGTGATCTACAAAATCTTTAGTTTTTGCCTGATTTCAGTCTTTTAGCAGTTTTTTTTTTATCGCCTGTCACGGTTTTGAGAGGACTTTTGTACAAGGTCCTTTGGGGTCACACCTCTGGTGTCCATGACAGGGTCACCCCCAGCAATGCTGGCTCCTGCTTTCCCTGCTGGGTGGAAAGGAGCTATTGGGGTACCTCTTCCGAGGATCTCACAGCAGTGAGGATGTGAACCCACAATGTTCCAGTTCAGAGTGCAGATCCCCAACATCTATCCTGTGGCCCCTATATGTGTGGTGTGCAAGGAACCATCTTTTAACCTAAAATTGATATTTGTGTGCTAAACAAGGCAGATCTGATGCATAGGAACAAGGAAAGTTTTATTCTATGCTGAAAAGAGAAGAAAAGAAACATAACGTTTCGGCTGTGGAGCCTTCTTTTTGTGTTTCCTTTCTTCTCTTTTCAGCATGGAATAAACCTTTACTTGTTCCTTTGCAGCCTACGCATGCTGAAGTGGCTAACCTCCTTGAACTAGATCTGGTGCATAGTCTTATCAAAATGTTAAAGTTTCTAAATCGTCTCTGACAAATAACTCTCCACTGCCTTTCTCATGAGGAATGGTTGGAGTGAGCTGTGCTGTCTTTTCGACTCTCCTTTGAACCTTTAGCCTTATGAACTTTTGTATCTTATTGTGTTTTTTTCCCTTTTAGTCTCCGTACATGTGCATAGTAATGTTTATCAGCACTTAAAAGATGGGGTTCTTTGTATAACTAGACAGTACATTACCACTTTGTACAATATTTATTTTGACTGTTGTTGTACCTGTTTCTTTTAGCTGGCATTGTTAATTTCTTTTGTATTTGAAAAATTTTAAGTAGTATTGCTATCAGATTAATTTCCCATTTGAACAGCAAAAATGATCTATGCACAAAGTACTTTATGCTGCAAGGTGTTTGACAAAAACTGGACACAACGCTTAGGATTTTTTTCTAAGATTGACTTTGTTTAAGTAACTCCTTTGTTTAAGAAGTTTTAAGAATGATCAATTTTATAAATTGCAGTTGCTCTTTCTCAAAGTTTCAAGCAGACCATAAATATATCTTATTCCATTTGTTTGAGATAGAAGATGAATGTGAATGTTATTAGGTTGGTTAACAAAACCATCACCGATTTCTAGGCTAATGAGAAGGCTTGGTTGGTCCAATGATTACACTCAAACGCTTGATGCTAAGAGGTTTCTGGTTCAAGACGCATCTGTGCCACAGACTATCTGTGTACCTCTTTGAGAGAGACTCTGCACAAGCAGTTGCTTTATTTATGTCTGTTACTTTGAATAGGAGGATCTGCTGGATTGATTACCTATATGATTACCACAGGGGAGGAAGGTACAGTAG